CAGAGACCCCGAATGGTCGCGTGCGGTACTTGAAGTACACACCGCAGCATATGCACTGCATCGCTGCCTTCTATGCACCGGTGGTACCGACAAACACGGGATTTATTGCCATTCCTGTCAAGGAGCAACGATCTCCCAATTTCCGTGTTTCTTGCACAGGATACACGCTTGGAAACGATCATGCTACAAACATTGTGAAGAAGCTCAAACTGACTGGAACACCGCATAAAATAATGAAAACCACAGTGTTTGTTAGGGGGATGTTTAACAGCGACATGGAGGCAACCAAGTTTGTGGGCGCGAAACTGAAGTCGGTCTCTGGCATTCGTGGCATCGTGAAGGCGGCTCTCAAGGGCAAGGACGGATTGATACGCGCCACCTTCGAGGACAAACTGCTCCCCTCCGACATTGTCTTCTGTAGAGCATGGAAAACGGTACATCCGCCGAAGTATTGTTCCATGCAGCGCAACCTTGTGGACGCAAACTGGATGGGAATGCGCAATATGCGGGAGCTGCGCTGGGAGCACAACGCCCCACTTGTCACAAAAGGTGATTCGGAGTACAAGGAGATCAAACGCCGCCAGAGGGACGACGAGGACTATGCGGCAGCGGATGCCACTAAGGTGCTTCTCTCCCGCAATCAAAAACTGCAACTTCCGTTTAATATGAAGGAGGAGTTTATTCCGCTTGAGCGAACCACGGCGCTGCAGCAGCGCCTTGCCGGTGCCGTTACTGTTGCGCCGGAGCCGCGAGACATGCGCCGCACCGCGCTGCTGGATGTCTTTGCGAGTAAAGCGGACGCGATGCTGAAAAAGAAGGCGGAAGCAAAGAAGAGAACGCGGCTGCGGCACCAGCGCGAGTCAACCGCCGAGGAGGAGGAATACTTGCGGCAACTCAAGAAGGCGAAGAAGGAGACCGCACGCCTTCGTGAGTTCCGCTCGCAGCATAAGACACGCAAGTAAAAGGGAAAGCAACGAAGACAATGAGAGAAGGGGAAGAAAAGCAAAAACGACAGGGAAGAAGGAAAAAGAAAGAAATGTGGAGGGGAAGGCCATTAATGACGTGTTTTCCTTTACTCTCGGTGTCGGCAGTCAAGTTAACCGTTTAAATCATCAGGGGAAAAGGGGGGCAAAAGACAGGGAGGCTGTTGAAGTGGTGAGTCTACACTATGCATGGCGAACCAACGTTTTTCCCCCTTCCCCCCCAACTAACTCCTTTAGGGCTTAAGGAGACCGTAGCATGCTGGAGAGGAATATTGCCTCCCAGGATCTTTTTTAAATATCCCTTTTCCATACTCACACACACACACACATGCATGTAACATATGTCGATTAATTTTTTAGATGTTTTCTTTTTTTTTTTTTTTCCTCCTTTATGTTCCTATGAATGAGGCGTAGACTATTCAAGCAACGTTTCACGAAACTGGGTGTAGGCATGGGGGTTGTTCAAGAGATAAAAAGAAAAAACAAAAACAAAAACAAAACGGAACAGGAAAGGGAAGAGAGGATAACATTATCGTGCAATTAAGTTGCCAAGTATTTAATTATTTGATTCACTCATTGTTTTACTGGCTAAATGTATGGTAGGTCGGTGGCCCGCGGCTTCCGGCACGCCTATTGGCTGCTATACCGCATGAATTATTTTTTACGGAAATTTCTATTTGCTCTTGTTGCGGTTTTACTTCTTGTGATTGTTATTATCCTCCCACCTGCAAGCAGCACGTTACGTGGGCGCTTGCTCTTTTATCATATGGAAGAATTGCGTCAAAAAGCAGGGGACAAAATGCCGGAAAAACTTTTTCTTGACGTGACGACTGGAACATGGGATGATGTCACTTGCGGCTTGGTGAAGGCTCCAGCTGGAGAGAATTATGCGGAGTTGAATGTGTTTGTTGTTTATGACAGAAAACTGCGTAAGACGTTATATGGGGGGGTTAATTGGGGTCTTCATTGCTACCGTCCTCTCCAAACTATTTGTCACCTTTTGAGAAAACAGCGAGGGAAGTGATGAACGACCATAGGACGTACCGCAACGCAGGGACTGAAGGCAGGTACAATGGGAACCGTATTTACTTTCTTGCCACGAAGGAGCCTCTGGTGAAGTCTTACCCGCCAAATAAGGTGGACGGCCGGCTGTTGCGTGAATGGGAAATGCCTGGATTTGTTGCCAGTAGGAGTTTCCTGCAACCCTACAGCGCTATTATGACCGTCTACAGGGGGAGAGTGCTCGGCCATTCTCTTGACAGCGGCACTCTCACCGGTGTGGCCGCAGGGTTTTTCTCAACATCTGCAACGGAGAAAAGCCGAGAATGGGTTGCCTTTTTGGAACATGGTGTGCAGATTGACCAGCCGCTGTTGTGTCGTATACGTCAGCGTATTCTTCGGCATTCGTTTGGCTTGCGCCGCTGTTGCGTCTTTTACGGAAATTTGCACAGCACGTCGCCTTCGCTCAATAATACCATGGGCCGTCGACTAATGTATGAGTAAAACGCATTCTTTCAAACATCGTTTACCCTGCGGGATCTACCACCCGTGTTTGTGACGCGGGCTATTTTGGTGCCATCGGTGCTGCTACACCACACTGTGCCATTTCTGGAGCGAGTTGCGGAGCTACTGACGGTCAATCGCACAGTTCTTCAAAGCGGCGGTTTAGCCGCTGTCATGACGGGCCAGGAGAGCGGTTGGGGCGTCAACAACACTCCGGAGTGGTCGTTGAAAGGGATGGAAGACGCCTTGGCTTTCAGCTTTGGGCTAGAACGAAACTACGTGTATGTGGAGATGCCCATCCGCCGTTTCACAGAGCCTGAGTTGGGGGAGTTGGGCTGAAAATAAAAGAAAAAAGGGGGAATGGGGGAGTTTATTTTTTCCCCTTCTCTTTCTCCCTCCTTATGCCTGCAATGAGTTTGTCCGTCCGTGCGTCATTTTTATTCCTTAAATTTTTTATTTTATTTTTGCTTTGGCTTTGATGTGCCGAAAAGAAAAACAAGAACAAAAATGAAGGGTTGTTTTCCTTTTTGCATTTGCCTTTCCTCTCTCCCCACCCTAACCCTTTTTTTTTTCTTTTGTTTCCTTATTTCCAACTGACGGACTTTGGGGGGAGTCCATCGTTTTTATGTCCACTGCACGTTTTTCTCTGAATCACCTCTGCGCATGATTATCAACTACACAAAGGGAGAAGCACGCGTTCAACGGGGAGAAGGGTCAGCCGCGGTGCAGAGAAGAGTGGAGTTGGATGCAGCACGCCTCTCTCGGGCCACACCCGCCCACATCCCTGCTGTTATTTCTGCAGTCTGCTCCACCGCAGGAGACATTTGAGGCATTCAAAGATGACTGTAAGTTGTTTGGCATGCCGTGGTACTGTCTCCAGGCGCAGCAATTATGTGTTGTGTTGTTGGTGCGGCATCCGCTTGTGCAAAAATACCCTCCACGCAAGTCGAATGTCCGTGCATTCCTGAAACATTTTATCACTCAGCTGGAGCTAACATGGGCCACACCACATGTGAAGGAGGCGCTAAACGATGAGGTCATCGATTCTCAGCTCATTGAGGCATATATATGTTACTCTCCGAGAGCCGATAGCGATTCTCAGACCAGCATGTGCTACAAGACATTTTACGCTCCTGGAGCACGGGAAACATTTCTTTCCATTCGTTTAGCCGCCGAGCAATTCGCAAATGTGGGCCTTGCGCTTTGGCCAGCGGCGTTTGTACTGGTGCAACTTCTCTTGGCGGAATGCTCCAGTCCCACACCTATTATTTTGCCACATGAAGGTGCTTTGCGAATTTTGGAACTTGGCGCTGGCGTTGGATTAACGCCAGTGATGCTTCATCAATACTCATGCTACAAGAAGAGGGTCCAAGGAAGCGTTCTCACCGATTATCAGCCGGAGTTGGTTGAAAACATTCTCTTTAACCTCCGTTCCCATATCATGAGTGGAGAGCGGCCACATGAGTCTCTGTCCGACACGGAAGAGACGGGTGCGCCACATGTTGCTGAACTCCTTGACTGGACGGAGCACGAGCGAAACCGGGAAAAGTTGCGGGAATGGGGATGCAATGTCATTCTGGCTGCAGACTGCATCTATGAAGTGGATTTAATTGATTCTTTTGTGACGACACTTCACCAGGCTTTAAGCGTCTCTGAGGCGGCTGTCGCCATCGTCGTACAGACACATCGTCAGAATAAAACGATGAAATGTTTCTTTGACGCCGTTCGAAAGGCGGCGATGTGTGTTTCCTCCTACCGGCTTGCCAAGAGCAGTAGCCAGCCGTCGGAGAACCTCATGTTTCTTCACAGTTCGCTCTGCCAGGATGATGCCATCGCTGGCTCTGCCGTGGTTTGTGATGAGATTGACGCCGATGGCAGTTTTAAAGGGTGTCAGGCGGGGAGCTGCGTACGTGGATGGGTGGGTCCTTTTTTTCTGCACTCTGAGGCGGCGGTGGGCATTCACGTGCTTCGACTCGGTTGACAATCAACACGCGTCATCTTTCGTGTGCCCCGCCGTTGCTTCTGGTGGTTGTTCTCCAAGACTTTCTGGCCCTGACTTCATTGGGGAAAGCCGAACACACACGCACACACACATACATACGCATGCGGCTTTATTGGAGAGGGATCTTCTTAAAACATTTCTCCTGACGCTCCAGCTGAGTTCTACCTCTACCAATGGGGGGGATGAAGGATTCGTATCCCTTCCTCTTTCTCTTTCTCTTTCTTTTTTTTTTTTTTTTGTGTTTTTCTGTGTTTGCAAACTGCGTATTGTATAATAAACTCACAAAATTTTTTTATTCTCTGTCTGGCTGTGGGTTCTGCAGGCACCACTAATAGAGTGTGGCGGGCATAACAGACACTAGAATTAAAGCAGGCCACAGAGAAATGGTGTTTTCCATCCCCTCCTTCCTGGGCCTTGGTGACCGGTACAAGCATGCGGTGGATGAGCGGGCGCAGGGGGTCAATTTTGTTACCTGCTACCCAAAGACAGGCCACAACCCCGACGCGCTCTTTGACAAGGAGTTCAAGTACATGTACAACGGCGACCGCCGCTCGGACCCGGAGACTATGGCTCGTCGGGAACAAATGGAAAAACGAAAGAAAGATATGACAGCCACTGGCTTCGCATACGTTGGCCCACCGCAGAAAGGGGAAGGCCTTGGGTCGTACTATGGCTTGATTCAGCGGGAACCGTACCCCCATATTCCCGACAATCCCATGCCGCGTGGACCGCAGCCCTTTCCCAAGTCCATGCCGCGTCAAATATTGACATCTCCTGGCAAATTGGGCAGTTACGGGACACCGGGATTGGCCCTGAGCGAGATTGGCAACGAGTACATCGCGACCATCTACGATCAGCCTCGTATTAACGCAAAGAAGGAACGCGATGCGTGGCGCCGTCGTATGCCTGCGGTTCCATTCATACCTGTTGGACGTCGTGGCTACACTTTCGATGAATCCCCGTTCGCTGGGGTCTCCACGTGTTACGTGATGACCAAACCGTTCATGCCCAAACTGGTGCGGCCCTCATTCAAGCACTTTGTAGTAGACAAGCCGTGGCGGCCTGCCGGATACGTAGAGGACAAACCCACCGCCATGGATTACCGGGAGGATCCGTATAACGCATTTGATCCCAGGGAGGATCCAAAGTCGCGTGTGAAGAAGCCAAGCGACGCCGTTTTTAGGACGGGCTATCGCTGTGACAACTTTTGGTACACACAGAGTATCGTCTTTAGGCGTCTTTAAGCACTAGGCTGTGTGTGTGTGTGTGTGCGTGTGTTTGTATGAGAGCAACTCCTATATATGTATACATGTACACTGTATTGGGGAGAGTCAAAAGAAAACTGGATTGTGACCAGCGCCAACAACAGCAATCAATGAAAAAAAAGAAATTGGGGGGGGGGGGGGAAAGAGAAAAGGCTTTTAATTAAAATTGAAGGACGGTTGAATTTTGCTTTGTGGGGAATTTTAATCATACTTTAGAGGTGTTAGCCGTCACCGATGCCGACATTTTTATTTTTATTTTTATTTGCAGAGGGATGGGTGTAACATCCCCTAACACACGCAGGCACACCGAGAAGGAGAAACACGGCATAAATCATTGTCCATCTATGTAGAGAGATCACTCTTTTTGTTCCGTTTCCCTTTTCAAAACTTCCATGTAACTATCTGTAAGTAGAACCTTTCCAACTGCTGCTTGCATGTTAGTCCCACGGTGACTGGGGATGGACTTGCCGATGCACGCTTGTTGCTTTGACGGTATTTGTGTTTACTTTTTGTGAAAATGTCTTATTTTCCTTTTCTTTTTCTTTTTTTTTTTTTGTTTTTCTCGTGAACGGATGGGAGAAGTTTTTTGAGGGGCGAGCACACCCCTCCAGAGACAGAAGATAGAAAGAGGGCGCCACTCGGTGAAATTTTATTTGCTAGAGCGGGAGTGAGGAGAGGTGTCGTCACGGCGTAGATATAAAGAGAAGAAGCGAATCTCCTCCCGTCGTTTTTTTTTTTTTTTGTTGTTGCCGTTGTAGGCGGGGCTCGTGTTTGTGTTTTCGCCTTGACGCATCGCACATGCAGCAACGTGCCAAGAAGCGGCCACGGCAGAGTGATGAGAGCAATACCCGACCTGCACACAACCGCAACGATGGCCAACCTCCTGGGAGTCGTTTACCACTGACCAGCAGTGTTGCCTCGGTCACTCCTGGCGGGGATGCCTTCCCCTCCTCCTCTTTGCATGCACCGCTGACGGCGATAGATTTGGTTTGGCAACGCAAAACGGCGGCGGTGCAGAAGCAACTTCTTCAACTTGCCAATCTGTACGCACAGAAGGCACAGGAGAACGAGGCGGTGCTGGACGCCATTGAAAGGATGATAGCCTCACATGAGTTGGAGCTTGCGGCGGTGGCGGCAGAGAGTGAGTCCCACACGTGTCAACATCTTGAATTAATTGCGGAGCTGCATCGTCGGGAAGATGCAACGCTTGCAGAAAAACAAAGTGCCATGGATGAGATAAAAATGTTACAGGAGCGACACGTGCAATTAGAGCAGGCACGAGAACGTTTGCAGGAGGACATTGTTATCCAATCGGACGCCTTGGAGCAGTTGCAGAAGACGCTGGAGGCAGAGCGCCAAGTGACAGACGAAGAGCAGAGAAAACTGAACGATGTGCTTGAGAGAGAGCGGGTTATGCAAGATGCCACCTACGGTCTCTCCGGGGAGGTGAGGGAAATGGTAGCAGAGATGGAGCAGATACGCAAGGCGAAGGAGGCTGCTGAACGTGCATCACGGGAAACCGAGATAGTCCGACGACAGTTGTACTCGCAGTGTGAGGAGCTGAAGGGGACCATTCGTGTGTACTGTCGGGTAAAGGGCAGTGGCAACAACACCAACGGTGAGGTTTTGCTCGTTCCTGAGAGCTCTCGTGAGGCGTCCATTTCTTCGCACAGTACAATTAGCCTCTCCACGGAGGGGCTTCACAACCTCGCCGCAGCAGGAGGAAGAGGTGCAGAGGGCAAAAGACAAAAAATACACGGAGGGCAACAAAAGACACTGCATGGTCGATTTGAGTTTCCCCAGGTCGAGGATGGGGTTCAGAGGACGTTGTGTGTGTGCCAATCGCGGAACAACGCGACATCCACAGGTACGCAGGAGTCCAAGGAGACATTCACGTACGATTGTGTCTTTGATGGCAACGCTACACAAGAGGCTGTTTATGCCAACGTGGAGCCGCTTGTCAACTGTGCGGTTGATGGCTATCGTGTCTGCATTTTTGCGTACGGCCAGACGGGATCGGGTAAAACATACTCCATGGAAGGAGAAGTGTTGGATGAACAGAAATGTGGCATCACTCCTCGCGCCCTTCGTACCATATTCCGTCGCCAGGAAGAGTTAAGCTCCGACGGCTGGAAGTACAGCCTCAGTTGTTACTTCATTGAAATATACAACGATGTCATTCGGGACCTGCAGCAGGAGCCGTCCGTGTATGAACCCGGTGGAGCCGCCGCCTCTCAGCCGAACTATCACGTTATCAAGCATCAGAACGAGTCGGGGTCAACGAGTATCACCAACGTTGTAGAGAGGCGTATTCGCTCCTTTGAGGACTTTCAGCGCCACTACAAGACGGCAATGAAGAATCGTAGCACCGCTAAAACGCTGCTGAACGACCATTCATCTCGGTCGCATTGTGTCTTTGTCCTGCGTATTGAGGGAGAAAATGCACTCATACGGCAGCGAAGTGAGGGGACGCTCTGTCTGGTGGATTTGGCGGGTAGCGAGCGAATGAGCGAGTCGGGGACACGGCAAGGGCAGCATCTCAAGGAGACCATCAACATCAACCGCAGTCTGTTGGATCTTGGGAAGTGCATCAGCGCCCTTAACAACTCCGGCAGCGTCGCACCGTGGCGCAACGGCAAGCTCACATACCTGCTGCAGAATTACCTCGGGGCAAAGGGCGGGAAGATGCTCATGTTGGTCACTGTCTCAGATAAGGAGGAACACATGGCGGAAAGCCTGAACTCACTCCGCTTTGCGAGTCGCGTCAACCAAACCGTTGTTGGCCCCTCCGTGAGGCGCGTAACCGACTACTGAGCGACTCACAGAAAATTGGGGAATTAAAATCCAGAAGTGCCTGCAGTCAACACCCGCACCTTTTTCCCTTTCTTCTTATGGCTTTTTTTGTACTTTTATGTCGTCAGAAAGAAGAGGGGGAAAGAAGGAATTTCAAGGCTAGAATAGATAGCGTGAAAATCTCCCTCTTTGCGTCCTTATGAACGCATTTTGTCATTTTTGTTTGCTCATGTCTGTGTCTTTCTGTGTGTATATATTTGACGGGTGCCACGGTCTTCCAGAGCAAACTTTGAGGCTTACTCTCTTCTTTCTTTCTTTCTTTTTTTCTTCTCCCACTATTTTAAAGCAATCGACGTCACACAGACTTGACACACATTGTGAGATATACATACACACACATATATATATATATATAACAGAGGCATAAAGAAAAAGAGAGGGAGCGAGAAGGCACGACGTGAGGAACACGTCATGCAACACCCGAGCAATCAGCAGATTCAGCCCATTGACTCATTGACGCCATTCTTGGGCGGCAAGTGGTGGATACGGGCCCGAGTAACGGACAAGTCGGATGTGCGCACGTGGAATAAACCGACGTCGCAGGGAAAACTGTTTTCCTTTACGCTCATTGACGAATCTGCATCTATCCGCGCGACGGTCTTTAACGACGCCGTTGACCTGTTCAACCCGCTCATTGTGAACGGCCAGGTGTATTACCTCAGCGGTGGCCAAGTGAAAAACGCAAATCGCAAGTTCAGCAACGTGAACAACGACTATGAGCTGACGTTTGATAGCTCGAGTCAGATTTCTTTGGCGCGGGATCCCAGCAGCGCGACAATTCCACTGCAGCGGTACAACTTTTTGCCTATCGCCATTCTCAAGCAGCGGGAGGTGGGGTCGCTTGTGGATGTATTGGCGGTGGTGCTGTCGGTGGAGGAACTGAGCTCCATCACGCAGAAGTCCACTGGAAGGGAGTTGATCAAACGGAACGTGAAGGTGGGAGACATCACAGCCGCCGTTGAGGTGACGCTATGGAACGACCAGGCGAAGGAGTGGGCATATTCTCCGGGTACTGTGTTGGCAATGCGCCAGCTGAAGGTGGGCAGCTTTGACGGCGTAACGCTCTCTGCAACATTTCAATCCGCATTCGACGTGAATCCAAACATTCCTGACGTAAAAAAACTTGCTGAGTGGTACATCTCCACCGGCGGACGCGATGTTTCTTCGCTCTCTTCCTTGGGTGTGGGGGCTGGCAACAATGCAGGCGGGGAGAACTACCGTGGTCGGAAGTATTTTGACGACATTTCCGCGGAGGGACTCGGCCGTGGCCCTAAGGCAGACTTCATTGATGTCCGTTGTGTGCCGGTGTATCTGAAGCAGGACGCGCAGTGGTACGACGCCTGCCCACAATGCAACAAGAAGGTGACATTGGAAGGAGCTCAGGGTGAACGCTACCGCTGTGAAAAGTGTGACCGGCAGGTGGTTCCCACGCAGCGTTATCTTGTCTCCATTCAGGCATCCGATAATGTTTCCCAGAAGTGGCTTACCCTCTTTAATGAGGCGGGTGTGGAGTTCTTTGGCATGCCAGCCACCGAGCTCAAGAAGCAGCAGGAGGCGGACCCCATGTTCGTCACAAAAATTGCGCAGTTGCGGATGAATCGCCCGGTGCAAATGCGACTGCGGGTAAAGGAGGAGAGCTCTTCCAGCGCAGCTGGTGGCGAAGAGTCTGACCGTGTGCGTCTTACGGTCATGCGTCTGAACGAATTTATGCCGCTTGATACCGTTTCCGAGGAAAAGCGCCAGGCGATGGCAGCCCAACTGAAGACAGAGTGTGAAGAAATGGTCCGGTGCATAGAGGCCTATTTGTAACGTCCCTGTGGGTTTTGTAACGGGGGGATTGAGAGAGAGAGAGAGAGAGAGGGAAACCAAATATTTATGTGAGCGGAGCGGTGGGACAAGAGTCAACATTGCCGTACAGAGGTAGGAGTGAGAGTGGAGGTGGGAGGGAGGGAGTGTAAGTGAAGTAACATAGAGACATATCCATACCCCTCCAGCCAGAGAGGAGAGAGAGAGGAGGAGGGAAATAAAAGGGGAGCGAGGTGATGAAAAGAACGAGGCAACGACATACAGAGACATGCAAAGTTACGTCTGTGCATAGGAACTCAAATGTGCGACATGCATCCTATTATTATTAATAATATTATATATATATATTTCTGGTGTTGTCATGGTTGTGGCTTTCTGGCTGGTTGACTGCTATTGGGTGGTGCGGGCCCCGATCACCTCCTGCTCCACACATCAACACCCAAACACAGAAGGATATAAATCTACATCTACATATATATATCGTACATGTTATGTGTGCAATGGTTGCCTATCCGTAGAACAACGGGGGGAGGAAAAAAAAATGCGCATGTGCACGCATTCATGTGGGTGAAGGAAAAAAACAATCACGAGTGAATCATGACTTTGTTTTTCCCATATATTTATTTATTTTTTTCTTTTTGTTTTCCACAATATACGCACGTCTTCTGCACGACGTGGTGGGACATGTGCCATTCACGGGAAGTGGGCGATATCGCATAGAAGGAAGGGTAAAGAGGGAGGGGGGAAGGGGTACGTGCGTATATTATATACATACACACATACACTAGTGAGGGAAGAAAGAAAAGAGCCGAGAGGAGGGGAAAAAAGAAAGGAAAAGAAAAGAAAACAATAAACACCCAAAAAAGAAAAAAAAGAAAAGCAAAAGAAGGAATAAAAATTAAAAGAAGGCAGGAAATGCGAAGGGGTCGAACGGTGGTGGCGGCACTTCCTGACGTTTGTCGTCGCCCCGCGTGCGGCGTACAACGGCAGCTTTCATGCTGCGCATTTGCCACGGCCACAATGATGCCGATGTTAAGAGGCACAACAGCAGTGGCTGCTCTTTACACGCCTGTGAATCATCAAACTCGCCGCCTGCACGTGTCGAGTCTTCTTCGCACCACCGCAGAGAGCCCGGCGGTGCCGGGGACGAACAGCAGCAGCGCGGGCAACGCATCTGCCGACAGCGGTGTGACAGCGCTTGATGTAGCCATGCGTGTCAACAAGCTGAAGCGGCTGCACCAGACAGGCGGTGGCCCGGACGGGAAAAAACGCATTGAGTTAGACGCATGGAGCGAACTGAACAGCCTCACGGAGGAACAAATTAACTCCGCCGAGGGAAAGGCCGTCTCGCTGCTGCTCAACTCATGGGCGTACTTTGCGAAGTACTGGGACAAGGGCAAGGACGGGCCGCTGGGCATGGCGGCCCCTTCCGCCGCTGGGGACTCGTCTTCGTCAGAAGCCGCCGCCTCCAGGGAGACACCACGAGACGGTTAGAGAGAATTTGTGTGATGGAGCCCTCGAGCACATGCATATGTATGTGGCTGTGGCTGTGTGTGACACGATTAGACGCTTGCATTACATGTAATGCCAAGGGAGGGCGTTGTGTGACTGACACGCCACAGAATTGGGGGTTTTTGTTCAATGCAAAGAGGAATAACGTGTGGGTGAGAGAAAGAGGAAGAATTGCGGTCCTTTTATATACATGCGTGTGTACTGACCAGCGGCAACGTGTAATCCAAACAAAAGGAAAAGCAGAAAAAAAAAAAAAAAAAAATTTACAGACAAAGTCATATAAACGGAACGAGAGAGAAGTGAAGGCAGAGACAGAGAGAAGGAGAGAAGGGAACGAAATCAGCGCAGATACATACATGCTGCGTTCATTTGCGGATTTTTTTGCTTTTGCTGCTTCCTTTAATTGAATGGTCGCAGTAGAAAAGAAAAGAAAAGAAAAAACAACAACAACATGACATCAGTAAGACTGCCATTAAATTATGAGGGTCTTTCTATTATTATTTTTTTTATTTTTATTTTTTGCTGTTTTGGTTTCTCCCTGATACTCTCCGATATATATATGTATATATGTATATATACATGCATAAATGATCTTCACATTTTGGTGAAGGACGTAAACGAAGGGCCCGCGTTTTCTTTTATGGGAGTGTGTGCGTGTGTGTGTGTGTCTATTGGGCACCCAAGAATGCCGCCTTAGCCCTCTCACACACAGTGCGTACATACACACAAAGGCATATATATATATTTCAGCGTGTGCGTGTTGGGTTGGTTCAGGGAAGAAGATGTTGCGGGAGGGAAATAAACATCATTACAGCGAAAACAACAACAGCAGCAACAAAAAAGAAAAAGAAAGAAAGAAAGAAAGAGAGAGAGAGAGAGAGAGAGAGAGAGAGAGAGAGAGAGAGATAGTGAGGGGAATTGGAGGGGGCATGCGTGTGTTCGCCACCGTATTTTTTTATTTGCCGCCACGTTGATGACACCTTGACGCCAGTTGAGGACGTTTGCCCACGCGAGTTTTGTTCCAGCGTATTTTCTTTATTATTTATTTATTTTTTATTTTTCTGCATTCCTCTATGTCCGCTGCGTGTTGTGCGGGTGTAGGCAGAGGAAGGTGGAGAGGAGGGGGAATAAGAAGAAAGAAAAAAAAAAGAGGGAGCATGCGGCGGGTGATTGGGGCCTCGGGATGGCGTTTCATGGTAACAGCGGGTGCTCTCGCGAAGGGTGAATTCGGCTGCTTCTCATCGTTCTACTCCTCCACCGCTACCTCCTCTTTTGTCATGATGCAACGGGCCCACCGAAGCCAGCGGCGGGAGCGGCCACCGCTGCGGCACCAAAAGCGACCACGACAAGACGAGAGTCATCAACGTCGCAGCCATCACGAGGATGGAAGGAAAGCCGCGAAACCTCTCGGTCGTCAAAAGGGGGGATTGCCGGGTCAACAGACAGCCGACGGCGGGGCGAGAGGCAGTGACGCGGGACGGCGGCACAACGAGGCGGTGACACCAGAAACACAGTTGACTGAAAAGGTCTCGGCGACAACCGCCGGCCGCTTTTCACACCGTCATGGCGGGTTCGTACAAAAAGTATTGGAACGTGGTGCCGGTCGAGTTGTCACGGGCGGGGCGCGTCCACGAAGGAAACAGGAGGAGGTTGAGCCGCGTGTGTCATTGGCCGCATTTGAGCGTCTTCTCAAAGTACATGTGGCGATGAGGAACAACTACGAATGCCTTCAACGGAATCATCAAGTTGTGAAGAGTTTTTCAATGGCTTGTGCGGAAGCTTTGCTGCATTTAGGGTTGGCACGATGTCGTGCAGGGAAGAATGAAGGGAAGAGGGAGGGGACCACTTCTGATATAATAGTGAATATTTGTAACGAGTCCTCGGCCAAGGGCGAAGAGGTGTCCTCAGCGCCACCGCCCCTTCTCTTGTCCGCGGACACGCCGCTTTACACGACGCCGATCAGCTTCCCACCACCGCCCGTAGAGGCCCTACTGCACATGACCGGGTCATCCAAATGCAGAAAGGACGGTGACAGCGGGGAGTTGTTGCTGGCCGCCATGGAGGTTGTAGACGGCACGAACGTTGAGGGATTAGTTGAGGATTCTGAAACGGTTACGAAAGGTCGCGCTCATGACACGGATCCCACAGTCTCATGGGGCGCCAATCCGCCAGGTGTAGAGAGTCTTCTTGCATGCTTGCAAGGTGTACCGATGACGGACATTATAAAGCTCATGGAAACCGTCGCCTACTTTAAATGGATAAAGGATGAAGAGGTGCTGGAGTGGAAGAAGGGGTCTGCGGTGGAACAACTGCGTCGTGAGATCTCCGCGCTCTATGCCGCTACTACGAAGAAGAAGGAGACGACATCAACACCTGACGTTTCTGATGAGGCAAACGAGGCACTTTGTGTAGTTGAACACACGTCAAAAACGTTACTGAACCGCATTTCCCGCGTTGATTGCGTAGCAACAGCGGCGGCGTCTTTTGCAACAACAGATTCTTATGTGCATGTTATTGACCTCATGTTAAATGTATTAATGCGTGTGTGCCTGTGGAAATGGCCTCGAATGTCATGTGTGGATCAGATGTCTGTTGTGCTCATAGCCACATTTCCCTGGTTTTCTCGTGATTTAAGTGTCGAGGCTGCATCATGGATGACGTATTATCATTTGCTTGCCATTTCAGACAAGGACGTGAACATGAATCATTATCGACTATTTTTATATATGCAGCGTATCCGTCGACTTTGCTGGCCGTCTGTGCAGGATTTAAGCTCAAACATTGTCCGAAAGTTGTTTTTTTTAAGGGAGACGTCGGATTCAACAGGAAACGCGGAAAAGGACTCAAATAATGACACGAGAGAAATGCAACATGAAGAGCCCGAGGAAGCAGAAACGGATGCAAAGCTTATTCCCTCACTTAAAGATGTTGCATGTATTCTGTACGGCTCACAAGAGAAGCAGCGTGCGGCATACGAGTGTCTGTTGGTATGGTTAAAGCAATCCGATCAGTTTGACCTTCGCCTTGCCTCGCCAAATGGACGTTACGTCGGTGCCATTGGTATCGCTATTGTCGATATTGATCGCTTTGCGATGGAGCGATTTGGCAGTGAGATTCTGAAGGGTGAGTGGGTTCTGCTACGCGTGTCGGGGAAAAACGTACCGGCATTGAAACGAGTTACACAATGCACCCAAACGCCATATGCCTTGACACGACTTTTTTTCTGCGGCTACCACAATCCGCTCTCACACATATGGCATGGCATCCATGCGGCTCGGCGGGATTTGCTGTGGAGTGCGTGGCTCCGCAGTGTTGCTCGACCGATGGTGGAGGCCATCCTTCCTGGCTCTGCTAGCAGGGAGGACAAGGGAGGAGAGGTATGTGCATCCCAGTTTATAGAACCCTTGCTTGCCAGTCTAATTTCTGATGTGGTGTTTCAGCGATTAATCACACAACTTGTTATTCTTTCGTTGAACAAAATGAGTGCTGCAGTCAATATGCAGCCGTTTGATATTATGTGCGTGCGGCTTATTGAGACAGTCTACACCGGCGCTCTTGTCCTTTACTGCGTCTCTCTCAATAAATCTGCTGTCGATGCTCCTCCGGAGGCGACACCTGGCGCGACTAAGAATAAAAGCCCGGTGGAGGGAAATGCACCGGAACAGCAGCAAACACCTGCGTCTGTTGCGATCCGGCGCGCATTTAGAGAGGTCATCTCTGCCATGGTGCGAATACTGAGTGCGGAACACGTCCCGCTGGTACACCGGCTTCTTGACGCGTTGTTTGGGGTTTGGATCAATGACACCGCCAGGGAAACGCCCCTGGACGGCATCCGAAAGGAAATTTCAACCATCTGCGACGAAAAGACTTATAACATGCTGAATGAGTGGCTGAACCGACGAGCAAATTTGCTTTTGGTGAAGGTGGCACTGCTGGAGGATCCGCTTCTTCGCAGCTGGCAACAAGCCGTGCAGGAAGTGGATGCAGGTCTGCCAACGACACTCCCCACTCTGATGGAGTGTTTTGTGGGACTGCTGGGGCTGCTGGAAAAACGGGGCCATCCAATCCTGAACACCGAGCAGAAGAAGAAGCAGCAGCAGTCTGCTGTCGATGAGGCCATGGCTGTTGGAAATGCCGCGGGTTCCTGTGCAACGGTGTTTACTTTGCCTGAGCTTGAGGTGATTCTGACTGTGTTTTCCCGAGCCATTCTTTACCGCGTTTCAACACTAAAAACTCTAGGGCTGACCTCAATCTCACAAGAATTTGCTGCCCTCATGACGTCATTGAATGGCGATGGGGGAGACAACAGGGACGGTGGGAGCAGCAGCAATAATAATACCAATAATAATAACAATAATAATAATAATATGAGTAGTAGTAGTGGTAGTGGAAACACCAACAGGAACAACATGGAAGGAAGAAATACCGCTACTTCTGCTTCTACTGCTGTTACTGCCTGCACCACCACCGCCACTCCCATGTTAACTGCTGATCACGTTATGCTCCTGGAGAAAATCCTTTCGGCTGAAGTTGAATCCAAAGCAGACGGGTTGACGTGGGGCTCTCTCCTCGAAGCCATCCTGTTGCACCTTGCGCCGTACAGCATACTAGAAAGCTCATACAATGCTTCTTCTAATAGCGAAGCGGCGGGCACTAGTGGAAATGTTGCCCCAGTGAAAAAATTGGAGGAGGACATGCAAGTGTGCCACCACAAGCGCCTTGTGAGCAGTGTTGTGCTTTTCCGGTGTTACGTCTTTGCGACGACACATGATGGGGGGTGGGCGGATGCCACATTACTGCCTCAAATTTCTGAACAGGAGACGGATGTGAGCCATGCGAGTGACAGCGGGGATGTAGCCGTATCCCACGGTCAAAGTGCTCAGTTGCGTGAAATAACATGGTTGCTTTTAGAGGTCTTTGTGAAGAATTGGGCGAGAAACTCAAAAAATACGAATACGAAGAGGAAAACTGCAGCAGGAGATGCGGGCACTACGGAGAAGGCGGAAGGAACTATGCGGCAGGAGCAATTTGAATACATTCTTGCTTGTCATGCTCTGGTGGTCTACATGCGTCTTGCACCTTTATTCTCGACACGCTCACTCTCTCTGCAAGAGGCATACGAGCAGTTTTTGCATTTCGCTGAGCACACGACGACTACCTTTGCCGGGAACCAGTACAATGGATGCGACTTGTTGTTTTTGTGGTTGGCTGCAAGCGCCAACGCCTTGGGTGTGCACTTCTCCCCTGCGCAGAATTACAACTGGTCGACGGTGGGAGGGGTGACGAAACTGGGATCAGGCAGCATGAAAATAACCGCCTCGCTGGGAGAGGGGACGATGCGCCTCATTCAAATCCTCGCACCGTATGTGCAGAGCGAAACTCTTCGAATGAACCCTCGCGTGAAGTTTCTTGTTAACATAATTGTGGCTATCCACACATTTGGGAAGTTGGGCATTCACATGGATACGGGGGGTCTAAACATGGATCAGCTACTGCTACGTACTAGCTCAGATCGACGGCTGCTGCATCGCCACCTCAATCTCTTTCTTGTTGGATGCTCCGCATTACCCGGCACACGACACGCGTTGCTAAACGTCGCCTCTTTTCTCCGCGAGGCGCGGTGCCTTCTTTCAGCGGCGGAAATAGATCGGGCCCTTGTGGCAGTTGCTCTCTCTGCTAACGCTTTTGCAAAAAATCATGAGGCGCAAGCTGATCTCCAGCAGAACGGTGGCCTTCTGGATGTCACCCACAGCACCGCTCCTACGATGCGTGTGCCGCCCACGCAACTTCGACACGCGTGGAACGCCTTGACACGTTCTGTTTTGGAGCGCGCGGAGGGGATGCCGACGAGTGTTTTTGTGCGGGGTGTACAGTGCGCTGGCGCTGTGGCGTGCGTCGATACAATTTTGTGCCAACAGCTTCTCTCTTTCCTGGTGGAGTTTCGGCGGGACGAACTCTCGTTATTAGACTGGACGGCGATTCTCCACACGGCGCGGCAGTCCTTTGAGAGCCGAAGAATATTTGAGGAATATTTGCAGGAGCCACTGACCTTGTTGCTTTTGTCCATGTCGAAGGAAAATGGCAGGGGAAACGCATTGGAAAGTCAGCATGTAATATCGAGTGGAAAACGATTAGTGGATGATCTTTCCCTCTTTGTAGAGGCACTGCCGGAGTTGTTCACAGGTGATGCGGAGTTTTGGGGGCTGGTGCGCACCGCTCTTAAGGTCCAGTGGATCGCACAATTCAATGCCGCGAGTAGCAGTGAACAGCACCAGCAGCAGTTGACATTGTGCCTACAGGATCTTGCAAGGAGCTATGAGTGGGCCGTGCGCACTGCCGGGCATCACGAATTGGGTGCGATTCCTATTGTGTAGAGAGGCAACGGAGTGGACAGACGCACGAAAAAGACAAAAAACAAAAGCAAGAACAAAGATAGCAAAGTTAAGAAACACACGTACGCACACAAAAGAAAACACGGTCCGATGATATGGTGCTGACTGGATGGAGGGCGGTGCTGTTGTCCTTCTTCTTTTTTTTTTTTGGCTGTGGCATTGTTGTTGGATTATTTTTCTTTCCTTGTGCCCTCTTTATGGCAGGAAGTCGACATGGGCGAGAGAAAGGCAAATGGTGTTGTTTTTGTTTTTTTGAACCTTCACGAATGTTTTGCCTTGGGGAGAGAAATTCTCTTTTTTTTTTTTTTTTGTGTGTATTTGCTCGGTTTCAGTTTGTTTCTTTTCTTTTCTTGTTTTTTTTTTCTTTTTCATTGTGGCTTTCCATGCGTGTGAATGCTGCGAGTAGGCCAGTGGCAAGGAATACATTACTCTCACGGAAAGGTACACACAGAGGGAAGGAGGGAGGGAGCCATTGTTGCTGTTTTATTATTTATTATTATTTTGGTTTTGTTGGATTTACAAGAAACACACACGACTTTTTTTTTTTTGCGGTATTTGTGTTTTATTTTATTTTATTTTTTATTTTTATTTTTTTTTTTTGCACCACTTCCCTGTCGTTCGACGTCAACGGGTTCATGGAAGAAGTTTCTGTCGTGCCAGTGGAGGTACGATGCCGCCCGCCACGTGTCAACAGGACGGAGCTGTCAAAAGTCATCACAAGTTTTATACGTCAGCGCCACGCTTTTATTCACCCGGGAGAAGTCCTCTCGCTTGACACCGCCTCAGACCTCATAGCCTCGACGGTGGAGCTGCTTCGGGTGTGCGATGTGTACTGCCCGCAGCTCGGCATTCCCGCGGAAGAAGCGGACTACGCCATGGTGATGTACACATTGTACACCGATGAGAGTTGTGGGGATTCGCTGAACTCTGTGGGGCTCGATGAGGATGCTGGCGCGGGGCTGGCGCCCTGCAGTGTGTTGTCGCTACCAAGCGTCTCCCTGGAAGGACTATGGGAGACCCTGTTTTATGGTGAAACACGAAGCGATTCCGTCCGTCTTAAACGTGATCTGCTGCAGTACATGCGTACAGCGATGGTGTTCTCCAGGGCTGGTGTGGACCCACACATTGTTGCGTGGAATCGGCTGATTTTGCTTTACGGCCCACCTGGCACAGGCAAGACATCGCTCTGCAAGGCCCTTGCGCAGAAGCTGTCCATTCGCCTCAATGACATGTTTCCTTTTGCCCAGTTGGTGGAGATCAATGCACACAGTCTCTTTAGCCGCTGGTTCAGTGAAAGCGGAAAGCAAGTCATGCTTCTTTTCAAGCAAATACATGAAATGGCTGATAAACCGAACAGCCTTTTGTGTGTATTGTTGGATGAGGTAGAGAGTTTGGCGGCGACACGACAATCTGCATTGAGGGGAAATGAACCATCCGATGCCATTCGTGTCGTCAACGCTCTCCTCACGCAGCTGGACAGTCTACAACGTCGGCACAATGTGGTGGTATTTGCCACCAGCAACATCACGGGGGCCATTGACGTGGCATTTATTGACCGCGCCGATAAAAAAATCTTTATTGGTGCACCGGGCTTTCAAGCACGACTCGAGCTTCTAAAGTCAAGTACGCAAGAGATGATTCGACGGGGGTTGGTTATATTGGAAGCCTCCTCTTGTGGGGAGTTTATCAATGAGGAGACGTGGCCGCCAGTGGTATCACGTGACATGGAGTTGGGCCAGAGTGAGTTGCTGCAGCTGGAGTCCATTGCCAGGCAGTGTGAGGCATTTAGCGGCAGAACCCTGAAGAAGCTGCCTTTTTTGGCGTACAGCGAATACGCGATGGGCGGCTGTGGCGTTGCATCGCACCTCATTTCATTCTCGACATTTATGAACGGCCTGCAGATGGCTGTTCGAGCCGAGGTGTCGGCGCGGGAGACAATGATGTCCTCTTAGTCTCCAAGCAGAGCCTTGCGTTTCCGTATTCGTTTGCACACACACACACACACACACACAATTATTCCTTTTTGTGTGTGTTTTCATACACACATACATATATTTTTTACTCTTTGGCTTGTTTGGCCGTTCTTTTCTTTTTTTTTTTTCTTGGGAGGTTTTTTTGGGCGTCTTCAGGCACGTGCACTCACACTCGCATTCATTTGCCTGAGATGCACCAGAGAAAAACTAAAAATATGACAGAAATTTTCTTTTTACCGTGGAGGAAGTTACTTTGGGTGCACTTCCCCCTGTGGTGCATCTATCCCCATGCATGTATGCGTGGACCCCCTGCTGCCGCTGTTGCTGCTGCTGCTGCTGCCGGGTGGTGGATGTCATGGAAGGAAGTTCTCTTGCTTGCTGCTTCTTTTAACACTTCGTTTGCTTAGATAGAACAGGCAAATTTTGCACGCACAAATTAGAAATACGCGCACGTACGGTGGACGTGCAATATTTTTCTTCTTTTCTTATTATTCCCTTTTGTGCGTCCATACCGGGGCGTTGTGTGAGAGTGGGTAGCTGATAGGAGGGAAGGGAAATGGGCCGCACCGTACTGATGGTGGCGGAGAAACCCTCCCTTGCGGAGAGTATCGCGTTTCATCTTTCCAACGGTCAGGCAGCGAAGCGGTCACGTGCGTTGCCAGTGTATGAGTATTCGGGTTATTTCTTCAATACTCCTGCCTATTTCAAGGTCACCAGCACGACCGGTCATGTCTTCTCCTGTGACTTCACGCCGCAGCACCAGAGCTGGGATCGCACGGAGGAAGAGGACCTCTTCAGCGCTCCTGTGGTTTGGAAGGACGAGGCGGGCAAAGTCAGCCGACATCTCGCACATGAAGCAGAGGGATGCGACACGCTTGTGCTTTGGCTTGACTGCGACCGTGAGGGGGAAAATATCTGCTTTGAGGTTATGCAGGTGGTTCGGCGAAGCATTCACGACATGCGGGATATTTGGCGTGCCAAATTCTCTGCCATCACCCGTGAGGAAATCACGCATGCCTTTTTACATTTGGGAAAGCCTAATAAAAATGTTTCTGACGCTGTCACTTGCAGGCAGGAGTTGGACCTGAAGGTGGGTGTTGCCTTCACGCGCTACCAAACAAAGTACTTCCAAGGCAAATATGGCGATCTGGACTCCAGCGTGGTCAGTTACGGTCCCTGTCAGACACCAACACTGGCGTTTTGTGTCCAGAGACATGATGAGATTTTGAACTTTAAGCCAGAGAACTATTGGAAATTGGTGCCTGTTTCCAATCGATTTGGGTCCTTAATGACATTTGACTGGGCTCGCGGTCGTGTGTTTGATGATTTAATGGCACGTTTGTTGCATCAAAAGGTGTCCCACCATAGAGCTGCGAAGGTCACGGATGTCTCCGTGGGAGTTGACACTCGGGCGAGGCCTACTGCTCTCAACACCGTCGAGTTGATGAAAGTTGCGAGCAAAGCCCTCGGTATGGGCCCACATCACGCCATGCAGATAGCGGAGAATCTGTACATTGGTGGCTACATTTCTTACCCACGCACCGAATCCACTGCCTATCCGTCGTCATTCAACTTTATGGCTGCCCTCACCGCGCAGGAGCGAAGCCCAATTTGGGGGAATTATGTTCAAGAGCTGCTCGCGCATGGACACACGCGACCAAAGGCAGGCAAGGATGCCGGTGATCATCCTCCCATCACACCGATGCGTTTAGCAACTCCTCAGGAGTTATCCGGTGATTCGTGGCGGCTGTACGAATACATCGCACGTCATTTTATTGCAAGCCTCTCACCGGATTGTAAATTGACTCGGACGAAACTTTTGATTGAAATTGGTGGGGAGTTGTTTAGCTTCACCGGGAAGGTGGTGGAGGATCCGGGATTTACGACAGTACTTCCCCAGTTTGCCGTAAAAGACGATAAAGTACCAACAAACATTCAGGTTGGGAGTGATTTTCCCATTTCGGATGTTCGACTGCAGGCGGGCCAAACACAGCCGCCAGGATACCTGACCGAGGCTGACCTCATTGGTCTTATGGAGAAACATGGCATCGGCACGGATGCGTCCATATCGCAGCATGTAAACAATATTGTAGAGCGTGGCTACTGTGCAGTAAAACCAGGTCGTGTCATGGAGCCCACGAAACTTGGGGTGGTTTTGATTCATGGCATCAAGAGCATTGATCCAGAGCTGGTTTTACCATTGGTTCGAAGCAAGGTGGAAGAGTATGTGACTTGTATTGCCGAGGGTCGTGCCTCACTGGATGAGGTGCTTTCCTATTCACTGGACCTTTTTTTTGGGAAGTTTCGCTTCTTTAAACAAAACATTGAACGATTTGATGCCCTTATGGGGGCCTCCTTTTCATCGCTCTCTGCTTTAGGGAAACCTATCACTCGGTGCGGAAACTGTATGCGGTATCTGAAGCACCTAGAGGCCAGACCGCAACGTTTGTATTGTGCCTACTGCGAGGTTACCTACGAGTTACCCCAGGGAGGGACCATTAAACAATACTCTAGCTTTAAATGCCCATTAGACAACTTTGAGCTTGTCATTTGTCATGTGGATGGGGGGAAGTCTTTCCCCATATGCCCCAATTGCTATAACAACCCACCATTTGAAGACATTCAAAAACAGAGAGGAGGACGACAGCATATGGCATGCGATGAGTGTCGTCACCCTGTATGCTACCATTCCCTGGCTACGAACTATGTGGCCGATTGTGTGGATGAGCGGTGTGACGGATGCATGGCATTTGTTCCCCGCACCTCAGGAAAATGGAAGATCTGCTGCAACCATTGTACCATGATGATTCTTCTTCCACCCACCGCTCAGCGTGTATACGTAAGCCCAGAAGAGTGTAGCGAGTGTGGTGCCATGATGATGGATTTACAGTTTCCCGAAGGAAAATCGCCACTTCCAAACCGCAAAGATCGCATTGTGGCATGTGTGTTCTGCGAACCCACCCTAAACTCAAACGTGACTGAGGTCCGAGGGCGCTTGGGCAACTTCAGCCGACGCGGGGGAAGAGGTGGAGGAGGCGGTGGCGGTGCTCGCGGTCGCGGTCGGGGACGGGGACGCGGCGGTAGGGGCAGAGGAGGGAGCAGGGGCCGGTATTAACACCGAGTAATAGATAGAGAGGGAGAGAGGGAAGGAGACATTGGGAGATACTCTATTGGTGAGGTGCTGCAAGAGGAATATGAAAGAAGGGGAGGAAGCCGATGATGTTGTGCTTTATGGGTTCTGGCCTCATTACCGATGTTGTTTGGTGGGAGGGGGGAAGAATGATAACAAAAAGAGGTCCTTCTGGAAGGCCTTTCAAAGGGCTAGAAGATGAAAAGACCAAACCATTAAAACGTTGTCTTTTCCTTCTTTGCATGTTTTTTTTTTTTTTTTAGAGTTTTATCGAGTCGTATGTGTTTGTTTTTCTGTTGTTTGCCTTTTGGTGCTTTACTTCTTTTTTTTTTTTTTTTAATTCCACACACATGTTCGATGCGTGCACTTTGTTAAATACATGCGCGTATTTTGCTAGCATTGCTAGTAGGGAAGGTTTTAGTACACGCATTTGCACACGCATGCAGCCTCGTGCTGTGCCCACGGGCCGCAAGCCTATGACCCAAAAGCTACTATTAGAGAAACTTCTCCATTTGCCGGAAAACCGCGAGTGTTTTGAGTGCTCGGCGAAACAACCCCGCTGGGCCAGTACCAATCTTGGGATCTTTTTGTGCCTTCGCTGCGCTGGCATTCATCGTGCTATGGGGACACATGTCTCCAAGGTGCGGTCGACAAACATGGACACGTGGGAAGATCCTATGATTGAGTGCTGTGAGTGCATTGGCAACAAGCGAGGGCGAGTGCTCTATGAGCACGGCATGGATCCTCAATTGCGGCCAACCGCTGCTACCGACAACATTTCGGTGGATCGCTTCATACGTGACAAATACGAACGTAAGATGTACTATAACCCGCAGTACGAGACGCTTCTGAAGCAGTTTTTTGATGCCGGTACCTCCGTTAATGAGGAAAAGTGCTCGGGTCTTGTGTTGTCCAAGCCGTCGGAGCAGACAGGAGGAACATCGGCGTCGATGCCAATGTTGTGGGGTGGGAGCCCCGCCACGGCTATGGAGGCTCCTGCTTCCTTGGAAGGCAACACAAATACCAAGAATGGAATCGATATCAATGAACTCTTCACCACCACAACGAGTACCGTTACCAGTGCACCGATGCAACATCAACAGCAACAAATATTCTGGACACAAATGGCGGGGAATGGAATGGTGGGTTACCACCAATACTATCAGCAGCAGTCGCAGTGTCCCTCCTCCGCACCCTCACAGGCGGGCCACCAGGTAGACGTCAAGACGGAGATTATGTCATTGTTTAGCACTCCACCCAATTGTTCTCCCAATCATGTATACAGTGCGTGGCAGCCACAGTAAATTTCCGGCTTTTGGCCATTGCGGTGGGCGACAAGGCGCAAAAAAAGGAAATAAATAAGTGGACAAGAAGGGGGAAAAAAAGGGTGAGGGGGAAAGGACGGCAGTGAAAAGCAGGAAAAAAACAAACAAAAACAAAAAAACAAGAAAAACCAAAGGAAAAAGAAAATAAGAGACATGGGAGAGGTCTGCAGATCCGCACTTTTGGCTTCTCAACGTTTGCTTGGGCTTGTATTTATTTGCCCTTGTTCTTGTTGCTGCTGTCTCTAGTTGAGGCCGTTTCTTTTTTTTTTGTTGCTGTTCTGAGAATTGCTTTTGAATGAAAGGTTTTTTTTTTTTTTTGTTATGCGCTTAATTATTCTTTCTCGAGTCTAATGACATCGTCCTTTTTTTTTTTTTTTTCTCTCTGTGTGTGTGTGTGTGTGTTTGGTTGCATGCATCCGTGGGCGTCTCACATTTTTTTTTTTTTTTCTTTGCGGTGATGCTGCCGGTTTTTGGATGTGTGCGTGGAAATAAACGACGGAAAGAAAAACACTCGTCTGCCTTTCCCTCTCTCTTTCTTTTTCTTTTTTCCCTTCTCTCCTCCTATATAAATATATATATATTTATATTTATCTGTTTTTTTTTGTGTGTGTGTGTGCACTTTTTTGGGGCGTTGAGGATTCAATTTCTCTGTGACTTTTCCGGCCGCGGGTTTAATTATGCCGTTATTGAAGTGAGTAATTAAAAAGGGGGTCTTTTACTGTAGTAGTAGAGCAGCGTGCATACCGTGCAGCATCCACACGGGCGGGTATCGCATATATATATATATATATATTGTTGGGTTATGGTATTATGGGGAATCAGCTGGCAGCAGCATCCTCCGTCAACGTCGCGGATGTCTCGTCAACATTGGCGCTCGTGGCACCTCTTGGGAGGGAGCATCGTTATTACTTCCGCTCATTCCACTGTGCGAAGCTGGCAGGTGCGGCGACCAGTACCACAGAGACGCTCCGCTCGCGTCATATTTTTACCTCTACGAATGACGGCCGTGCGAAGGACATGTCTTTGCGCCACCCGTTTCAGCGAGCGGGTAGCACGGATGTCGTTGTGAAAGTTTTTGTACGTACTTTTGGAGACAACCAACAGAAGCAGTTGGTGGAGTTCTGCTACGAGAAACTTCTAGAGATTGATGGGCGAATGCGAAACACCCAAAGCGCCGCATCCAACAGCACGTTTATGAATGGCGGCAATAATACGGCCGTGGGGAATCATCATCACTCTCCTGCTGCCCCACCAGCACCATGTAACGTGTTGTTTTACTCGGGCATGGAGGTGCATAATGATCGATTTTGTATGCTGCAACGATCTTATGTCGCCTACTCACTTTCGGAACGACTTGCGACGCGGCCGTATTGGAAAATGGGCGAGCGTCTCTTTGCCGGGTATCAGCTCCTTCAAGGGCTGGTGCAGTTACATGATAAATGGGAAACCGTTCATGGGGACTTGAAGACAGATAACGTTTTGGTAGACAAGGCTGGGTGGATTTACGTGACGGATGTTTGCCCTTTTAAGCCCGGCCTTCTTCCGGCAAACAATCCGGCCCTGTTTGACTACTACTACGACACAAACGAGACGCGTATTTGTTTTTTGGCCCCAGAGAAGTTTTTGGACGAGACGGTTTTGTTTAACCCATCGAACTTGAACGCAAACGCCCATACAAAAGCGATGGATATTTTCTCGGCGGCATGTGTATTGGCGTACATCTTCACGGAGGAGCCACTCTTTTCGCTCTCGGACACTCTCAGTCTCCGCCTCATGCAGACACAGGAGGAACGTGAGTCCAGTGTGCAAAAGATATTAATCGAACGTGGCGTTCCCCCAAATGTGCGCCGAATGCTTCTTGACATGTTGTGCAACCCCCCAGCGACTCGTCCCACGGCACGACAGTTGTTGGAGACATTTACGCCGTCGGTGTTTCCATCGTACTTTGGCTTTATTTACGGTGAAATTCTTCCACCACTTCTGGCCCGCCCACCAGACCTCAAAGTACAGCTACTGCATTCCCGACTGACGGATATTATGGATGAAGTGACACAACGCTTTGGCAAAAATGAGGATGCAACCAGTCATCTGGCGGTTATTCAGGATGCCAAACAGTTGAGTGTGCAGCTGCTTCTTCCCGTTATTTTAAACGCCGGCCTCCACCTCATTACAGATGACGCTTTCTGTCGTCTTATTTCCATTCTTCAGAAGATTCTCCCCTATTGCTCATCGGAGGTGCAGAAAGATATACTTCTCCCTTACGTTCTCCACTATTTGAAGTTGGAATGCCACCCGGTTATCGCGCGCATAATTGCACTGCGGACCTTGTCTATGATATGCCACTCTATCCCTTTTTCTGCCAGCGATGCAACCATTTTTGATGATCTTGTCCTGCCGTGTATCGAGCAACTCTTCTTGAAAACGGACACCACCGATGTTGCCCTTCTTGCGGAGGTTGCGGATCAGTTACCCAGGATCTTATTGCGGGCCCGCGCCTTTTTGGAGCACTGTCAGGCGCTTGCATCTGCTAATGCGTGGCAAAGCGGCTTTGGGGAGCAGCTGAACAGTCTTCTGGATCGTGGCTGGGATGCCTTTCGATTACTATACAAGCATCATCATACAACGGTTGCTGTTGTGACGCTTCGCCGCACGGCGGATGTGGTGGCGTTTCTTGGAGAAGAAAGAGCACAGGATGATCTTATTCCCTTTCTTACAACAGCCATTGCCTCCGCCATCGATATTCAACGAGAATTATATCCACAGGCGATCATGTGTCATTTGCACTTGCAGACACCGAAACTAAAGACACTGCGTTTTTTTGTGGAAGAGGGACTGAAACAGACGGATGTGACGTGCCTGGAACGAACCATAGAGAGCATCACAGTCATTGTTGAAAAGGAATGTTTTGCCGTGTGGGACATTATGCCGTTGGTGCATCAGGCATTACCGTATATTATGAGCTCCAATAAATGGGTAAGCTCGGCAGCATCTCGCATGGTGGAAAAAGTGGCCTGTACGCATCGCGTGAGTGATGTATGGATGTATTTAGAGTGTGCTGTTCGACCCTTGTTGCGTCACCCAGTACCGCTTTTCCGCATGGCTTCATTTCCTTCAGCTGTGAGGTTGGAATTATCGAATAACATCTACGTCGTGGAGCAGCTGATGAGGAACATGAATTTAGAGACACGATTCCTGGGCGGGGATGCAGCTTTTTATGAGCGCATATTGCGCAGCAGCACAATTTATGATTCGCCTTATTTCAATTCATTTGGGATTGCAAAACGTTCCTTGCAGGGTATTGTCTCACGTGCAACATCCGTGGATGTTACTTTCGATTCAAGCATGTTGAAGCCAGAGGTATCCTCTACAGAAAAGGCGGAAGGGACGCTGAGTGACGGTTCTCGGAATAATAAGTGGGAATTATTTTTTAGGCTCACAAAGCGTGAGCAGAAGCGTTTGCTTTTACGGCAAAAACCACTACGAGATGATGGGGGCTTCAACGCGATACCGTCCCTCTTTCAAGAGCGACAACAGTCTGTCGGCAGTTTGCATACCACACGAGGAGGAAGTGGAGGAAGCCGCCGCAGTGGGAATGAGGTGGCAGGATCCCCGACCCTTTCGATGACACAAGTCACTTGGGAAGAGAAGGAGTTAAAGCCGATTGCCGCGCCGTGGTTTACGCGGACTTCTCACCTTGGTGGGATCTACTGCTCCTCCGCGGCAAAAGGTGGGACGTTGGTGACAGCGGGCGGTCGAGGTGAGGCGATTCTTTGGTCGCTAGGCTCAGAAGGGGTGGACTACTCTCATCGCATCCAAACCAACGCCTCTCTCATGAGCACCTTTCTGTTTGCAGGCTTTATGCGGGAGGGGCTTAGCCCACTTCTCTGCATGGGCGGCACTGACGGGGATTTTTGTGTTTTTGATGTTGCGTGCAACAACATTGTCTTGCGGCGTTTGTTGGACGGCAGTACACTGACATCCTTTTGCTTGATTGGTAATTTTACCACACTTGTGTCCACTGCGTTGGGTGGTGTGTTTGCTATTGATGTTAGGGTGGGGAAAGACGTCTGGCAGACAAAACTGCCGCCTTCGGTTGGCCCACCGAGTGGTCTTTTACCTCTTTTTTTTGATACCCAGGCGTACGGGGCGTCGGTGGTAACATTGACGGGGGGAGTAGCCCTGTTTGACCTGCGCTTTCAGCTGATGGTGCAGGAGTACCGCCTTGGCAAGGATGATGGCAACAGTCATGAAAGCGGAAGGGTCAGTTGGCCAGGCACCCACGCTATGGATAATCCAAATGCCATACTGTGCGTTTCCCCGGACACTACATGCACTACTCTAGACAGGACCGACGGTCCGGGCCTGTTTTTAGGAACACAGGCAGGGACGGTGCACTGGATGGATCTCTCCACTGGTGAGAATCGGGTTGTACTAGAGCCTGCCACAATCGGAAAGCCGACGAGGGCATTACTGGTGCAGCCAAAGCACTCAGTGGTCATGACGGCAGGAAATGACATGTGGATCAGAAAGTGGTGTTTGACCGCTCCTAATCAATCAAAAACCCTTGTGTGCCCGCCGTACACGTCCCCCGCGTACCACGGAACCACCCGTGGGGGAATTGCAGAGGCTCAGTCACAGAACCAGTTTGTGAGTGCACGGCCTTTCAATTCTAATGAGCCGTGCCTGACAACTAATGGTTTTGTATGTGATGGTGCTGTGCCGCGGCACCATGAGGACGCCATTCTCACTTTGTGTGCTGTATCAAACGGAAATGCGTCGTGCCTGGCGTCCGGGTCTCGTGATGGCACACTGACGGTGTGGCTTAATTCAGAGTAAAAAACCGAAGGACGGAAATTGTGACATTTGCTCCATCTGTTGGGTTTTCCATTGATATGCCTATTTTTTTTTTTTGCGAGCGGCCTCGCAAGACGGGCGGAGAACGGACAATACAACACACTTCACAGTGCAATGCATTCGTATGGATGAATTTTTTTTTTTATTGCTGTTTTTTATTTTATTTTTATTAAACCCACATTTGCCGTTGTCGCTGTTCTTTCCCCCCCCCCCGCTCTCTCCTCTTTTTTTTTTTTTTTTTTTGTATTTGTGTGTGTATGTGTGCGACTTTTCCATTTATTTTCGATTGCGGAGGACGACAGCACCAAAAAAAAAAAAAAAAAAAAGCAAAAGGGGGAATGACAATACAAAGGGATGCGGCGGATGAAGGCTGCGGTGATCTTTTGCGGGCGGTGGAGGAGCGTATTCCATGTGAGATTCGGTGCCATTTCACCGGCATGGCAAGTTACCGTCAGCTTAGGGATGGCAACGAGGGGGAATCGACGTTTGTTTCGCATCCAATGAAACGGTTTAGAGAATTCACGTGTGAAAAGGAAGTCTGCGTGGAGAGCTGCATAAGCCATGTGCTCTCGTGTACGGCGTGTCAGATACTAAAAGGGTATTGTGTGCTCTGGGCCGAGTCTTTGGTGAACGTTGTAATGTACGAACCATTTGTGTCACGCACGGAGAGACGAAGAAGGGGAGATGCAAAGACCCAGACAACAACGACGAATAAAGAAATACGCGGGCGTCACCAGCTGATTTTTCACACCCTTCACATTGTTGACAAGGCGGCATACAAGCACCCATTGCAGCATTCCTTTGCCTTGCAGTCAGTCTGCCAGCCGGGAAGGGTCCTGCAGCTGGAATGTTATCCCTACCACATGATCCACTTTGGATTGCTGATTTATGCTCTCTGGCGAAGCCCGGATGAGGTTTTCAGTGCCATACGAAATATGCCACGTCAAAAAAAGGTGAATACGCCCCTTGAAAAAGGGGCTTGCATGACGGAGACCGCAACTATGTCTTTGACACCATTGCATTTCCCACTTTTGGCGACAACCGAGGATGCGTCGGTGCTTATCCTTGGTCTCGGCGGGAATGTGATTGGGAATTGTTTGGATTCCGCCCTTCCAGTTGATGTGTCCATCGACGTTGTGGAAGTGGAGCCGGCTGTGTTTGAAACTTGCCAAAAGCACGGCCAGGTTCCACCATGTTCCGAGGTTCGGACCAAGAAGGAAAATGGGACAACACGTGTGTGGGTTGTTCGAAAAGGGAGGCAGCGGCATCCAAATTACCGCTTTATCATTGGGGATGCCCGTGTGGTGCTGCAGGAGGACAAAACACACCAAAAGGCTGACAGTGAGGGGCCGCTCCATGGTCGTTGCTATAGTCTTGTGTTTCTAGATTGCTACGACCCCGAGAAGGAGCGCATGATGCATGATGGCAGTCTCATTGATGTGTGCCAGTCTCGTCTTTGTCCAGGTGGTGCGCTGATTGTAAATGCGCATATTTTGCCAACGAGAGAGGCGCTGGAGGAGCAGTTTCTCTCGCGTGGCTTTGCCTCCGTGCAGGTGTTGCGTGTGGCGGGGTGTGTTCAGAGCATTGTGGTTTGTTTGGCGAGGGACAAGGCATCGGCGAAAAGTCCCAACGAAGAGAAGAGTAACAAAAGGGAAGGGGGCCAGCAACAAATAGGAAGACTGGATCGATTTTGTGTAAGACACGCCCGTCATTTGGCGTCTTATATTCAATGTGCCTCGAGAGCGGACCCCGGTATGTGCCGTTTATTCCGCAGTGGTTTTTCTTTGGATGCAAACTGGTTGAGGTCCTCACGGTCAGTGGAAGGAGCCTCTTGCAACACCCGTGTGTGGGAACACTACGATTAGGTGGTGTGGCGCGAGAAAGCGGATGGACAAACGTATTTACACGCACACGTACCGTGTTGTATGCTTCTTTTTTTTTTTGTCAGTGTGCACGTATGTGTGTGTATGCGGTTTAAAGTGTTTCTTTATTTTTTCCCGTTTCATTTTTTTGGACCATTTGCCGTTGATGAAAACGAGGAGGAGGTGTTGTTGGTGGTGAGAAATAAAAGGGAAGATGGACGTCTACCGGCAGGCTAGTGAAATTGTGTGCGCCGTGCGTGAAGGAAATGGCACGGCGAAGGCTCTCTGCCTCCGGAAGGAGATGCAGAAGAAGAAGCAGACATATGCGGTGGTCTGCGAGACGCTGCGGCACTACGACCTCTTGCAGGACGTGCTTGACCAGGCAAAGTTCTTCAAGTACTACCCGCGTGCCAACAAGGGGTTTGCCATCTGCATGGCCTACGACGTTGTGCTGGGAAAGGGACTGAACACCAACCGCGACACGACGGCACAGGCGATCAAAAAGTCCGCGCCGTACTTGCGGGAGGCGTATTGGCACGTGAAGAAGCATCACGTTATCCCCTCACGTGCACATGAGCCCTTCACTGAGGACAGTAACGGTGGGAGCAGGAATGATGAGGTTGATAATAACGAGGACAATTACAATCGCCGCTGCACGCTCACTCAGCAATGCTTTTCTGGCGATTCGGACAGGGCGGCTGCGGTGCCAGAGCTGCAGATTCCACGGTATGCGCGAGTGAATACGTTGAAGATTGACGTGGTTACTTTAGTGGAGCGTCTCCACCGCGCTGCTGAGAAGCGTGGCCGTGAAGATGACGGAAGCCAAGGGAAGGAACAACAACGAAAAGAGAAAAAAACCCATCATATGAAAGGGTTTCGTCTGTTGTCGGCCTTCACTATGGATCCTGTGGTGCCGTCGCTGCTTGTATTCCCAGCAGGCACCGACCTGCACGCTCACCCGGCGGTGCGCAGCGGTCAACTCATCCTGCAGGATCGTGCATCGTGTCTTCCCGCATGTATTCTGCTGGACGCGGTAGAGGTGGTTAGGCCGTCATCCGCTGGGGCCGGTGCACCGCTGGAGTACATCGTTGACGCCTGTGCCGCCCCTGGCAACAAGACGACACATCTCGCAGCGTTGGGCGCCCCACACGTGAAAATAATGGCGGTCGAGCGCGATGAGAAGCGTGCGGACCTTCTTTTCCGCCGTGTGCAGAGCCTCGGAGCCAGCGACTATGTGAATGTTGTCAACTTGGACTTTTTCCAGATGTCCTCAGCGGATCGTGAGGCAACGGAGGGGATTCTGCTGGACCCAAGCTGCAGCGCTAGTGGGGTGTTGACGCGCGTGGATGTGTCGCTTATGCGGCAGCGCCAGGCCCGTGTGGCCGAAGTCGGTGAAAACAACAGGGGTGAGGATGGAGCTGGCAACAATGAGACGTGGGCCATCAGCCCAGAAGAACATGGTACCGAATTTGCCAGCAACGCCGATCGGGTCATGGGCCTTGCGCGTCTGCAGCGGAAGCTTCTGGCGCATGCCCTGCTCTCATTTGACAATTGTCGTACGGTCGTGTACTCAACATGCTCCGTTCACGTGGAGGAAAACGAGCTTGTGGTGCGGCAGGTGCTGGAGGACACGCGGGTGCAGGCACGTGGCTGGGCGTTGAGCAACATCATGCCAACAACATGGAAAACACGTGGGCAGAAAACGGAAGGCGACACATTCCCACTGGACCACACCATCCGTTGCGACCCCGTCGCGGACGCCACTAACGGATTTTACGTGGCTCGCTTTGACCGCGCCGTTTAAAAAAAAAAAAAAGAAAAAAAAATGAAAGTGTTGACATTGACATCGATTAAACCCCAAATTGTAAGGAATTATTTTATTTCTCTCCCCGCTCGTGTCCACGCCGAGTAGTATTGTTTGAATTGACGGCGCGGGCGAGGACGGCAACGATGCCTGGGTGCTGTGAACTTCTCTTTTTCTTTTTTTCTCTCTCCGTATATGCATGTATGCGTATTCTTTCCGCGTCCTTTAATGTGGTCAGGGAGAAAACTCACGGTAAAAAGGAATAACAACACCACAGACCAGAAGAGAGGGAGAGAGAGTCGCACCGGCATTCGGATCTCGACAGTCGCAGAGAAGTAAAAGGGAAATAGAGTGAGAAAAAGAGAGAGAGGGCATAACAAAAAAAAAAAAAAAAAAAAAAAGAAAGAGGGAGGATTACAAACAACAACAACAACAACAGGAAACATACAAACACACAAAAAAAAAAATGGTTGTTGGTCTCTCATCCTCCAAAGGCATCTTGGCTTTATTAAATGAGACCGATGCCGATGTAATTCAGTTTGCCCTCAAACGTCTGCTGGAGCTGGTGGACACCTACTGGTATGAGATTAGTCCCGATCTCCCGTTGATTGAAGAGCTTCACGAGTCGTGTGATCTCTCTGAGGAGACTCGAATGCTTGCCGCTCTTGTTGCCTCTAATGTTCATTTTCATCTTGGTGCCTACAATGATTCCGTACACTTTGCGCTTGAGGCCGGGACCGCATTCAACTACATGGAGCGCTCACTCTTTACCGACACCATTTTAAGCTGCTGCATTGATCAGTTTGTGCAGTATCAAGAGCAGCCGGAGGAGACTCGCGGCAAGCTCGATCCACGCCTTGACAGCCTTTTTACTGCCCTGACCAATAAATGGATCTTGCAGGAGGGGACACCCGTGCGGGAACTTGTCGGTTTCACCATTCGTGCTCGCTGCCTTGATTTTTTGGAGAAGGTCCTCCGCCAGGACATCGCCCTCACGAAGTCTGCTGCCATTCTGAACTACACCTTTGACTTGGCCAGTGTTATGCTTCGTGATATTGGCTTTCGAGGGAAAATATTGCGTCTTCTGGCGGATCTGTATGCCCAGGGAGGTCTGAGCACCATCGACTACTTTTCCCGTGCACAGTGTCTCTTATTCCTTGGTGACTCGGAGTCCACGACACGACTTATAACCGACTTGATGCAGGCCAATGACAAGGCGACAGCCTACCAACTTGCATTTGACCTGTACGAATATGGAAACCAGGAGTTTCTTTCTGCGGTTGTGGCGGCACTTGAAAGGGAGGCGGCAGAGATTCCCCACCCAGGCTTGACGTCATCTCCACCTGAGAATGAAGGAGAAGAGACCTCGACAAAAGAAGTTGATACCAGCAATCTCTCCGATGTACACCAAAAACTCCTTGCCGTTCTTACAGGGGAAACTTCCGCCTCTTTTTACCTGAAGTTTCTTTATGCCCAATGCAATGCAGACATCCACATTCTCAATCACATCAAACAATCGATTGATGCTAAAAAATCTGTGCCTCACAACGCCACTGTAATTGCTCACGCTCTTATGTACAGTGGAACCACCATTGATGCATTTCTACGAGGCAACATGGAATGGCTAGCTCGGGCAAATTATTGGGCCAAATTTGTTGTTACAGCCTCCATTGGCGCCATACACCGAGGACACATTGATGAAGGACTTGCTGTGGTGGACCCTTATCTTCCAAAGGAAGGTGTGGGACTGCTTCCGTATCAAGAAGCAGGCGCCCTTTATGCACTAGGCCTCATTCACGCTCCTGTTGGTGTAACTAGAAACCGAAAAACGATTGATTACCTTAAAAATGTGTTAAGGAAATACAGTACGAGTGAGCAAATGATTCATGGTGCCTCGTTAGGTATCGGTCTTGCAGCAATGGGACTGAAAGATGAGGAGCTTTTTGATTCTCTTTTTGCTTGCGTCAGCGGCTGTGACGCCGTCGCAAGTGAGGGCGCCGCTCTTGGCATTGGACTACTCATGATGGGAAGCGGGAACCGGGGCGCCATTCAGAGTATGCGAGCACTGGCGTCTGAGGATAATCAGAAAGAAAAGACCATCCGAGGTATTTCCATGGCCATGGCGCTTATGATGCTTGGTCGAGAAGATGAGTGCTGGGCCGTGGCGAATGAGCTTCTGGATGACTCTGATCCATGGGTGCGTTTAGGGGGTTGCTTCATGCTTGGTTTGGGGTATGCGGGGGCAGAGAATACGAAAGTACTGGAACGTTTGCTGAGTGTGGCAGTCAAGGACACCTCCGATGACGTTAGACGCAACGCCACCACCATGATTGGGTTCCTTACTATAAAAGATCCAGCGCTTTGTTTAGAGCTTACCCGTGTCCTGGTTGACAGTTACAATCCACATATACGCTACGGTGTGGGAATGGCATTGGCAGTGGCGGCTGCGGGAACAGGTGATTCCAGCGTAATTGAAGTTCTCTGGACTTTAAAGGACGATTTGGTGGATTTTGTCCGTCAAGGGGCATACATTGCGCTTGCCATCGTCATGGTGCAGCTGACGGAGGCGGAAGAGCCGAGGGTGAAGGAACTTCGTGAGATTTTCAGCAAAAAAATTGCCGGTCGCAAAGAAGACATGTGCTCAAAATTTGGAAGCATCATTGCCACTGGCCTTTTGGATGCTGGAGGTCGCAATTGCACCTTTTCCCTGCACCGTCAACGCCATCGCTTGGATAAGGCCGTGGCTGGCATGTTTGTATTCCTGCAACACTGGTACTGGTTCCCATACCTTCTGATGATCACACTGGCAATGCGACCTACCTGCTTCATTGGCCTGAATGACAACTTGGACGTTCCGGAGTATACTTTTAAATCAAATGCACCAGCGAGCCGCTTTGCACTTCCCAAGAGCGTTCTTGCAGAGAAGAAGGAAGCCAAAGCGGCTTCCGTGAAGGCGGTTGTTCTGTCCACAACGAAGAAGGAGGAGCAATTTCATCGGCTCAAGCGGATGAGCGGCAGCGGCAGGGCACATGATGCTGCGGAGGCTGTAGCTGCTTCAAAAAACGCAGCCGCCGCTGAACCAGCACTCACACCGTTAGGGGCGGAGACGGAGAAGAAAGAGCCAGAACCATCTTTTGAGCTCCTGAAAAACCCGACCCGTGTAACGTCCCGACAGTTCGCTGTGATCTCTCACGATGTGGATGGACGCTACGTGCCACTTAAACCTTACCCAACGGGTATCTGTCTGCTGCGCGATACAAAGCCCTCAGACGGCAAGCAGAAGATTGTGAGTGAAGTGGGCTGGAACAGCGCCGACGATGCACCGCCACCGGAGCCGTTTACATGGCCATGAGCTACACACAGAAGATAAAGAGCGAGAGAGGGAGAGGAGAGAGAGAGAGAGAGGAGGAAAACAAAAAAGAAAGAAGAAAAAGAAGCAGAAGAAAAGAAAATGAAATGTAAGCTCAAGCAAAAATATACATATTTGTATGAGGGAGAGGAAAAAGAAAAAAAAAGAAGAGGCAGAACTAGGGAAGATATGCGGAAGGATTGATGCGTTATTTATGTTTATTGATTTACTCTTTTGTTGTTGTTTTTGCTGTGGACAGGCGTAGACTTTACTGGCTGCCAGCAAGGAGGTTCGTGTGGATTGGGAGAGCATGTTTTTATTGCTTTTGTGCACTTCGCTTTTTTTGTCCACGCCATGTTTGTTTGTGTGTGCGAGGAATGACGATTGCTGCCGGGGGGTACACGTCAGGGAAGAGGGGAAAGACGCGCGAATAAAGCCAATGACGCAAATTTTATCTGTACGACCAGGCATGCACGGGCACATTGACACACAGTGGAAGTACACAGGAGGCCTGAGAGGACTAACACAACCCCCGCTGCGTAGGAGTATCTTTTCATGCACTCCCACTCTTTCTTTCTTTCGTGCGCCAAGAAAACGGAGATGCATGTGCCTGCACGTGATTTGGGGAGGGGGCTCGTGGTATTGTGTCATTACGGCAAGCTGTCGCCCTTTTTTTTTTTTTTTTTTTACCGGAACCACAAGAAACCAACAACAACAAGAAAGTTTATAGTGAATGATTTTGCAGTTCAACTGGGACCGCCTGGACGTCATGGCGGCCGAGGCGATTCGAGCGCTGGTGAATGCCAAATTGGAGGAGGAGCTTCGGCGTCGTGCCGCCTTCTCAGGGGGTGTTGACGCACCTGCTGTCGGTGGCTCCACTCGGGCAGAATCTCTTTGCGTCACGGGTATTGAGTGGGGCATTGCACCGCCATTCATTGAGATTCTGGAGCTTGACGACGCGCAGGACCTCAGTAGGGCGAACTTCACCCCGCATGACACCATTCATAGTCGCCAGGAAGCGGCGTCGCACTGCAATCTATTCCGTCTCTCGTCCTCTGTTTCCTCCCAGTACGGAGGTGAACACGGAAGTGAGGTTGACTCCTCGCCGGGTGGATGTCCCTCGGCGTCCGTAACGAAGCGAATGCCTGGAGCATGGATGGGTAGCAGCATTCCACAGTCCGGCTCGCCCGTCGTTCCGTCCAAAGATACTCTTGCCCCCTTTGTTGGTTTGGGAGGACTTTATATTTTGTTGCATGTCACATATGGTGGACAAATGCGGTTGTCCGTGTCATGTGTGTTGCGTCACGACATACCCCTTGGCTCTATTAGTCTTCCTGTACGCATGCCACTAACTCTCCTTGTGTCAAAGATGGATATGGACTTTTATTTATCTATCAACCTTCATCAGAACAAGTGCCGTGTCTGGATGGAGCCAGGGAAGCTATCAACCTCCCCTATAACTAGAATGAACATTAAGGCCGTGTTTGGCGAGCGGCGAACATACTCGTCACAATTACTGGATAACTGGACTGGAATTCCACCTGTCTGCGAGGATGCAGACACATCCGACGCGTGGACGCATGTGGCAAGTAGTCACCTTGGCTCAGAGGAGGAAGATGATGCAGTTTTCACGGAGGAAAATGTCATCTCGCGATTTGTTTTGAGTGAAATTCGTGCGATTCTTCAAGAAAAGATTATTTATCCCCATTTTGTAGAGGTTCCGCTGTTTCTATGACGACTTTTTGAAAGTTTATTTGCGGTTCTTCTTCTGCTGTCATTTGATGGGAAACGTGGCAATTTGTGATTGGAGTCGTGTGGAATCTCAAAATATCAGCATTGGCCATTGTTGCGCTGTACCTGTTGGCAACCTCTTCCTTTTTTTTTTTTTCTTTTTTTTCTCCCCTTTTTTCTTTTTATATATTTTAATTTTTCTTTCCTGCCTTTTTTTTTTTTCTTGTTTGCCTCTTTGAAGGAAGGAAGGAAATACTCTTTGACAAGGAAGAAAATTCAACGCAAAACTTAAATCACAAAAGGGATAAAAAGACCGCGTCCCTGTCTGTGTGTGTGGCTGTCTCTGCCCCACGAACGGTATTGTCGGAAATTGCAGACAATACGAAGAATACATCCACACAAGACAGAGAGACGCAGAAAGAAGGGGGAACCATTACCACACCTAATGTCTGCGTCATCAGAAAGCTTGGCTGTGAACTCCACACAAACGACACCCTCAAGGCTACTCCAACGAGGCATGAGGCGGCGAGAAGTCTCCGTGTCCATTCTCTCTTCAGGCATTGATCCCACGCCCAGTCAACAAGGAAGCGGCGGGAAACCTGAGTCGTATGCAAATACGGTTACAATTCCACTTTTTATGACCCAAAGCAACGAGGACCTTCTCTTTCTGCCAGTGTGCACCCGCAACAAAAGAGTCTTATCTCAAGTCACAACACGCAGCAGTTCCGCAAGTAGCTGCACAGAATCTCCGTTTCAGCGTCAGTTGAACTCTGTGAGAATAAAGGTTGGGCTGGCCGAGGCCATTGTGCAGAACGCATCCATCACCGCCAAGGTGCCGATGGCACCGGAGAAGCGTCGCAGGCAAATGTTGCAGCTGGAAGTGGCAAAGCTTATTCTTTTTGTGGCGCGACAACATAACATCCGCGAGGAGCTGCAGCAAGTTGCCGGGAACTCATTGGATGTGTCGGATGAAATTATGTACCATCGCCGTTCCATTGAGAGCAATATTTCTTTTTTGGCGAGGGAGCCGCCGCCCGATTTGTCGCTGAAAGAACTCAAGCGAGCCACGTTTGAGATGGAGAAACATCTGGAAAAGATGAAGGATAAAAAATCGAACGCGCCGTCCGTTTCCGCCCACGGGGCCACCTCCAACCTTTCGGAGTTTCTTTGGCTCATTGAATCGATCGAATTGGAGACACTGGATCCACAGGACGTTTATTTGGGTGAGGAAGCGGCCAGTTTCATTGCCCCTTCCACTTCCGCCAACACCTCCACACCTCTGGAAGCATTACAACGCCAACATGAGCTGCCGCAAAAAAAGCGCCCGGAATTGTTTCCCCCCTTGTTACATTCTACACCCAGTTTGCAAAATGAGGGGGAAAGCTTTTCGACCCTGTTAAGGTCACCAGGCTTGTATTTGATGGAGTACCCACCACAGCTCAGCACCGACAAGACAACAACAAAAGCGGAGAAGGAGACGGAAGAGGAAGAACTCGTTGGATTCTCTGTCGATGTGGAGTCTCCCGGGTGTCGCGCCGTAGAGGCGGCGGGGTTGAAGCTGCTTCAGTTCATGTATGATGCTGTCGACGCCAAGGACAAGGGACTGAAGCTGACGAATGGAAGTGAGGAGGAAATTGCAGCCATGTTGAGAGCAGAGAGGACGATGCAGTATGGAAATGAGATTATGCGCTCTCTGAATACCGACGAAGCAGACGCCGCTGAGCCAAACGAATGTCTTTTAGGATCTGATGGGACGATGCGGAATTTTGATGCCACCCGACTGACCCAATCCGCAAGGAACAGAGCCACTGGCACTCTCTCCAACGCCCAAGAGGAGGAACTGAGCAATCAGTCAAAAACAAGCAGCATATCAGCTCTGGGAGAAGATTCCTTCTTTTTTTCAGGTCACCCCGCGGGTTTTGAACCGTCATTGGTTAATTCTTGGATAAGGCCAGTCCAGTCTACGGTGGAGGTGCATCCTCTTCGGACAGGTATTATAGATATCCTAAAGAGGCTGTACGGGGACTTTAATTACAAGTATTACTTTGAACACTGTAAGCCGCCCAAGGCGGATAAAGTGCCCAAAACAAAGGAGGACTACTATCAGGAACTAGAGCGACGGGTAGCTCGGAGGAAAAGTGAAAAACAACAACGCATAGTCAGCGATCAGAATGAAGAGGATTCAATGCTCTTGAGGTGGAAAGGGAGAAGCAGTTCGTCCAAAAGTTTAACCGTTGGGAAGCGAGACTCGAACATCAAAATACAAGAAGAAATCACAGATGATCAGCTGGAGAGCATGGCGACTGGGACTGCAGAGACGCCTCCGCTGGAGACACCCTCTGTTGTTACCGCGCCGCCCACTGAAACAACAGTTGATACGCATGGTGAAGGAATTGTGCTTGTAGTGGAGCTGGAAGAAGGTATTCACTTTTTGCTGAAGGGGCGGAGAGACGAGCGGGCGGGCCAGCAGAGTGTCTCTGGATCAATGAATTCCTTTAAAAAGGGGAAGGAGTTAACGAAGGGTGGGGACATTGAAAATAAGAAGGCTGTCAGTGAAAGAGGTAACACGGCACAGAGCGAAAGTCGAGAACCGGATTTTGACAGCTACACCTTGTACGCTGTAAACCAGTCTGACATGCCACGGCAGGCGACAGTGGAGACGAATCGAACAAAACTTAAAAACTTGAAACTAAAGGCACTGCTCAAGTACTTTGGGAAGAAAAGAAATGCAATTGCTGTGGATTTGCCTCCACGCGGCACCCAGTTGGTGTTGGTAATGAAACCCATTAAAAAGGGACGAAAAGTTGTCTTTGATGAGGCGTTGAAATTTTACGAAGGACCTCCAAACGAAGAGGCACCCAAAACGACATATGCAATCGCCAAGCAAAGTCCACCACAAGTCCAATCTACCACCACGCCACCGAGAAGTGCCCCGTTGGCCGAGCCCGAGGTGTTACGGGATTCCGGAGGTACCGGTGCGGAGGCCCAGGCGAAGGGGGAATCCGTTTCTCAGACTGAATACAGTGAAAATAAAACTTCAACCAAAGCTGGTAAAACTTCTTTGGAGGTGGCTGACGCAACAGAGCCAAGCGTGCACGGAAACGAGGAGGAGGATCAGGGGAAAGCTGCGGCACTCAGTGGTGCCCGTGTCCCGTCCATGCAGACGTTTAAGCCTTTGTTGTTAAGGAACACTGGTGGCTATACAGAGGATTTTTCATCCGAAGCGTATTCTTTTGACGGGAGTTCATTATCTGGAAATGATGTTTCGGCAAAAGGGGTCAATGACTGGGGCGTCAGTGTTCTTCCTTTAGGCGAAGACCTTGAGGATCAGCAAGAAGAGGGCTGGCGGCAGAAAGGCGACATGGGTGTTCCGCGGAAAAGGCCCAAGGAATCAGACAACAAAGCCGCGAGAACAAGATTCATGGGTGAAAAAGGAACCAAAAGAGGAAGTGAAACGAGGATTGGATCCAGTAAGGGTTCTCAGTTTGAAGCAGACAGAGCTTCAGGGGAAGCAACGCGGGTGCATCAATGGGGAGTCCCCCTAACAAATGACGATGATGAGGCATTTGAAAATAATTGTGTGGTATTGTCTGTGTTGCAGGCATCTGAGTGGCAAAGCGGCTCGAAAGTTCCGAGGCGTTCCTTGGGAAGTAAATCTGCCGTCCATAGTGTGGAGGGTGGCGAACCCAAAGAGATGAATGTGAAGGATGGGGGAATGGATGACGCGACGGGGAAGGCCACGGAGGGTGGGATTTTGATGGAATCTTCGTTGCGTACGACGTCTGAGCGGTACCCAAGCGCGCGTTTCCGAGCGACGAGCATTGATACAAAGGAGGAGGATATTGTCACGGCTGCGCTTTACCCCGCTGGGGACGGAGATGCTTTAAAGACGGAGGAGATAGTATCTAGTTTTCTTCAACGTATCGCCGAGGCGGAGCAGTTAAATTTGGAGGAACAAATCGATAACGAGGATATTTCTTACCCGAAAGGAAGTGAGGAGACACCTCTGCCTGCTGGGTCAGCGGCACTATGGCGACGTCAACTTGTATCTCAATCGCAACAAGATCCCCATTCTATTGGATCGCAGGAGGAATCAAAGCAGCTTCTCTCCTCGTTAACGCCAGGGGTCGAGACAGAGTTCCCGCTTGGATCAGACAGAGAAATATGTAAGGTGCAGGGTAGCACCTCTTTGGCGGCTTTACGGGCCGAAAGTGAGGAACACGAAAAGGGATCCACTCTTAGAGCATCTTCTTCTCACATGTTTTCTTCAGAGCAGTTAACTGCAAATGCAACTGTGGTGCAGCGACCAAGTGTCACCTTGGAAGGAGGGTCTTCGGCCCAACGCATGAAGATATACGGACTTCCCCAATCTTCCGTAACAATGAATGAGTCTGTGACTCCTGTGCACTTGGATGAAAATTACACCAGCACCTCTTATCCTCAGCAACCTTCTGTTGCCGCGAAGGTGGACGGCGGCGAGATTGGGGATGATGTAAGTACTCCTGTGGAAACTACTTCCGGGCTAGGAACGACGAGCCGAACGGCGGACAAAAGATCCGTTTCAATTGAGCCTTTGCAAGGGAACAGATATGCCTCACCAACCATGGAGCGGCCAGCATTCAACTTGGATCTTTTGTTAAAGAGTGTCAAGAAGGCGGAAAAGAAAGAGGCTCCTTTGCCAGGACTCTCCACTCGTATAGTAAAAGATGAATACGCCCTTCCAGAGCAAGTGATGCCGGCGAGTCCCAGTCGCCAGCATGCATACGCAGAGGCCCGACCAGATGGACGATTTGCCATTTTTGCTCCTGAAGAAATGAACGTTAAGGGAGCAGCCCATACTTCTGACCGCATGGACAAAAAGAAGATGTCGACGCGGCTCTCAGGAGTAGTGGAAAACGCGGCGGTGTTCGCCGAAGAAATCCGCACAACTTTTCATGCCTTTGCGCGTCAAGCCACGTCTCAGTGGAGGCAGACTTTTGCCCGCTCAGAAATACACGGGAAAGCAACCGTCGGAAGAAATGTGAGTGTTGATGTTATGCGCCATGCAACACTTCCGGCACTTTCAATGGTTTATTCCCCTGAGACGGCTCAGGATGTGGAAGACATGGAAGCTGCGGAGGAAGAGGCAAAGGCACTTTTTCTACAGGATCCTGCTCGTTATGACTGTGTTATTGACGAACTTACAAAACGGGCCATAGCAAGAGTTTACGAGGAGGAAGAACGAGAGAAGGAGCGACGGGATTCCGCGGCACACGGAACGGCTGGAAGGAAACTGAAAGAGGGATTGATTGTAGTGCCAGGTCGAATGCAAAATCGTTCTGTAGCCTTTCGTCAGTTTTCTGTGGTGGGGTCACAAATGGGTGGTTCCCAGGCAATGAATATTAGTAGTACTGGTAGCATGGTCCAACTTAACGGAGACCCTGTGCACTTTACTCACGGGGGGAGTTTTTTAAAGGGCCGTCACCCGTCACTCTTACTGGGGAAAAGCCACCGTGATAAAGTGCGTCATGACACGAAGTCTGAGTTGGATCAACTCCTTGATGAGCAGCGTCGTGCAAAGAAGATTGTGGCATATATTCTTATGGAGATGCGTCGCATGTGGCGGCGGCGGTGTCTGGAGTCCAATCTTGCTCTCCGCAGTGCCGTGGATCGCTTCATTAAACGATCCGTTCTTTTTTCATGGCATTTTGAGAGGCGACGTGTGCTTAATCTACACAAGCTCATTCACCTCCTGGACCGCAAAACCGGCCGCGTGGGTGGTTGGTTGCCGTTTTACATGAAAGATCGTGTCATGGAGGACCGATTTGTCTGGGAGCCCGCCCCACTGCACCTCTCACGGCCGCTGCGTGTTGTTCACCGGGCAATGTGTCTTGCCAGACAGCAACGGATGTTTCCTATTCGTCTCGTGCGGCAGCAAGCTTTCCGAAGGAAAAATTCGCAGCATATATTGTACGGTTACAAGCGTACCATAATGGAGCCGTTTAGGAGCCCTGCCGTGCGCCTTCGTCATGGGCGACGCTCTCGCTACGCCGCGCCGTTTCAGAATCCCACAATGCGTTTTTCTCCGCAAGTTGAGTGGATGGACGGAACACCGAAAAAGTAGGTCTGATGGAGGCCCTGGTATTGCCAGTAGTAGTAGTGTTTTTAGTAGCACTACTAAAAGTGGTAGTAATAGTCGTATTGATAGCTATTTCTCAGGCTCATTCTTGCGTAAAAAGGAGAGATTTACATCAACCAACCATACAAAAAAAGTGGGATTGTTGGATGTGGCATTCTGTGTGAATGCGTCATGTAAAATGGAATGGGGTGACCTTTGGTAACCCAGCAGGTAAAACAAACAAACAAACAAAAAGAAGGATTGATGTTGAAGGAACAACAAAATGTCTGATACTTGTGTCTGCAAATGTTTTAATAAATCAATGCGGCCTTTTTTATTTTTAATTTTTTGCTTTTGCTTTGCGTTAGCCTCTGTTGGCACCTTTTGTTTCTTTTCCGATAGAGTCTGTCTGTCTGCGTGTGTGTGTGTCGCGGTGGTGGTGGGGCGTGTTCACATTTCCCTTTTCAATGTGAAGACACTTGGAGTTGTTGTCTGCTCTCTCTCTCTCTCTCTTTTTTTTTTTTTTTTCTTTAAATTTCTTCTTCTTCTCTGCAGCTAGTTTGGTTGATTGGTTGCGTGTGTGTGTGTGAGTGCGTGTGAATTCTGCGCCGACCGAGTAACTGAGACCGAGGGAGAAGAGGATAAAGAGAGAGAGAAAGAGAGAGCGATGACTGCACAGTGCCCATCGTCGTTTGCCTTTAGTTCCTTACTGTTGTCATCGTTTCTTTTGTTGCTGACGGGCGTTTTTTTTACCGAAGGCACGGAGGAAAACGGTGATAACATGCCGGAACCGTCGATTGGGAATGCAGCCGCGCTCTCAATGATGCAAGATGTCTCTATGGGGAAGAAAAATTCCTCCACGATGTCACCTACTCCACCGGAACCCCCCGATGATAATCCCTCTTCTGATTTGGCGAACCCCCCGCCAAACAGCACATTCCTCATCGCAGCTAATAATTCCGTCACGTCAACGACGGGAATGACGCATTCACCAACGACTTCTCTCACCGTCTCACCCACCCCGTCGCTGGAGGATGTGCCGGACAACATGTATACACGGGCGGAAAGTTGTGATATTCCCATAGTAAATAAATGTGTGGAGCGATTTTGCAATTGCATCTCTCGGGGACAGTTACAGAATGCCAACCGGTCGTGGTATATCAAGAACGGGGTTTATCAATGCCACGAATTTGCAAATGCGAATTGCTACTATAACCTTTATTGTGCGCGCGAGCGGGTGTCATGCCTATGGAGTGCCTCTTTTTTGTACAAGGCGTACCGTCCACAAGGGAACACTTTGGCGACATCATATGAATTGAGCCAGAAAAATTCCCAGGGCAGCATGCCATGTGTTGGTCTAGAGGATATACAGGGCAATTTTTCCCAGCTTACAAAGAACACAAATTACTACGACTCTCTGTTTTATAGTGAGTGTGTGGACTATGTGACATTTATTTTGCAGCGTACGGGTGATGGTATTTGCGCTGCAAGCATTGTTCCCATGTATGTTTGTGGGGACTCTCTGTTTCCCGTTCCACCCACACGTCAAATCCACTATACCCCATTAAGTGAAGGGGCTCGGCGACTTGTTATTTCCATTGTGGCACGAATTGTAGGTAACTTTACCCCCATATTTAATTTGGAACGTGCCAAGTATAATGAAAAATATCAAATGAATATTGAAAATCAATTAAGTAATGCTATGTACAGTTGTTTTTTTGACGCGATCGGAATCAAAGGAGTTTTTTCTGTGAAACACGAGGACGAATGTCTTGTTGTGAGATATGAAGTGGGTGTGGGAGAGGCTGATCCATGGGTGGGCGACGTTGTGACGGCAAATGCACTAAGTCTGATGGTGCGCAGTGCCTCCTGGATGGACCCCGCGCAACGGGTGATTGGAAATATTACGGACTCTGTGAAGCTTAGTGCACCCATTGTTGTATATTATGTGAGCTTTGAGTCTGGAACAGCCCAACCGGAGGCCAAACTGTGTGATGCCGGGTGTTCGGTAGCTATTTCATTGGTCCTGTTTTTGACACTTATTGCATTTGCTTTTTCGTGCGTTTTTTGTTGTAGACTGTCTCGAAGGCCGTATTTTATGTTCGATGACGACCACGATTTTGAGGAGATGGAAATTGTTAAGGGTCGAAGAGCCATCGTACCCAATAGAAAATAAAAGCAATGTTTTTCTTTTCTTAGCACCGTGTGTGTACGTGTGTGTGTGTGTGTGTGTGTTTTATGAATTCGCACGTCTACCTTTTGTTCATTCTTTTTCTTTCAAAATTTTTTTTTTTTAATTTATTTGTTTGCATTTGCGCATTAGGCCTGATGTAACATGACTCAATTGTAGGTGTATTCCCTTGAGATCTGCCACTCGGGCTGTCCTTTGCTACACATGTGCAGATGTATATACATTTCTTTTTATCTAAGAACCCCCCAGTATATATATATATATATATATATATATATATATCTGCTTTTTTCCCCTTTTTTTATTTATTTGTGATTCAAGAAGCGTTGAGACTATTAATGTTATTATTATTATTATTTTCTGTTTTGTTTCGGGCGGAGGCAGAGGTTTAAAGTGCTGCCATTTGAGTGTTGTGTTGAATATACTTTTTTTTTTTTTTTTACTTTCCATCTTTTTATTTATTTATTTTTTTTTTTTTTTTGTGTGCGTCCTGTGCCACTTGGTGCCTGCAAGGTAACCCATTTACTCACGGCAGCACAAAGTTGGTGGGAGGATGGGCTGCAGGCATAGTGGTCCCCGGATGCCCCCACTGGAACAGCAGCAGGGGCACTCATTGGACCGGCGGAAGGAACGCGATGTAGTGGACATGATGCCGGGGGATGGTGTAGACGCGAAAAGCGCACATGTGGCGGGTTTAAGTGGTGCAACGAGCGTGGATGGCCCACAAGGCAAGCCGTCGCGCAGAGATGACGTCTATTCCCCAATGCCGCCACAGGTACCGTCAAACTCCTGGTACGCACGGGAGTTCACGGAGGTGACCAGGATGTCTCTTACGGAGTTTCACATGAAAAAAAGAGGCAACGTTGTCTTTTCCAACGCATACATTCCGGTCGGAGCTTCGGAGTTGGAGAAACTTCCCGGACGCGCCCCGCCGACGCCAGCGACGCTGGAGATTGGGAGGGACCTCGTGTACGGCATGGCGTACCTTCACAACACACCGCTCTTTACGGAACACCAGTGGCGTCTGCGGGTGGCCCATCACGCGAAGTGGCGGCAGGATGAAGGAAAAAAACACGAAGGGAGCGAGGAGCGTCGGTCCATTTGCCGAAAAGAGTGGGCGAAAACGATTTACGATCGGCCGGGCATTGACACGTTAGTGGGCATACGCGTTTTTGTTGAAAACAAACTCGTGCCCGACGAATACCCCACAACCAGGAGTATTCCAAACTGCACTGCCACGATAGACACCAGCGAGGCATTCAACAATTGGATTTGTATTCCTATCGTACTTGTGGGGTATTTGAACAACTTTCTTCTGGGTACTATCACGTTGTACCGGTTTCTTTCACTCAACTTTGCAGGGTACATGCTGCGTCAACCCATCAACCTCAGCGGAGTTGAGGCAGCTGCAGCCGGCTATGATGGTGACGGTGAAGGGGCAAATGACTGCAGTGATGATCATGCCAGTCGAAAGTTTGAAATTTATGTTGAGGTGGTTTACGGATGTTCGTCGGAGTTTAACTTCTGCACCGATTACATATCAAAAGGTAGCGTCCAAGTTATTATGACAAAGCGATCAAAGTTAGCTTTGAAAACTTACAAAGAGAGGCTCCATAAGTTGATTCAAGGTAGTCTTCTTTCGCGCGAGCAGGTGGTTCCTATGGACCGATTGGAGATGGTGGCACAGCAGCAGTCATCGCGTAATTGTTTGTTTTGTGGATCCCCGCTGCGTTACACATGCACCATATGCGGCGCCCAGCTCTGTGGTACGCTTATGTGCGTCTGGCGCCCCTTTGCTGGGTATCCTAGCGGATGTTCCGTCCATAAAGCACAGGTAATAATGTGAAGCTTTTTATTGACACCTTTTTTCCCCGTTGGGCCCTTTGTCTCTCTCTCTCCCTTTTTTTATTTTTATTTTTTCTTTTGCCCGGATTTGTCACAAAGAATGGGAGGGGGGCAACACACGTTCTTTTTTCTCGGTGCAGGCAAAGTGTGTGTGTGTGTGTGTGTGTGTACCGTCAGCAACGGCGGGGAAGGAAGAATAGAAGGAGGGAGGTGGTGCGGAAGAGGGACGAATACATGTGGCATAAATGATTTATTTATTTCTAATCCTCCCCCTGATTTCACTATCATGTCCCTCTTCCATCATTCGCATGTATGGATGTAGTCTGCTGAAGAGAGAGACTGTAGGGGCCCTTTTCTTTTTGGATTATTGCAGGGACCGTGGTCTCTTGTGGAGTGCAGAGCGAAAGGCTAAAAAAAGGGGAAGAAACCAAACAAATAAAAATACATTTAGCGGTATGATTTCAAAGTTTTTTCGGTTGGACCCGCAGCGGCGTGAGAAACATGAAATCAACCCTCACGATATCAAAGCATTGCGTGGGATGGCTGCCACGCACAACATTACCTCTGTGGCAGTTCCGCAGTATAGGGTTCGAGAAAACTACGTAGAGTATGTGATTGAGTGCTCCAAGAGAAGCGTAAAATGGCAGGTGTTTCGGCGATACCAACAGTTTAGGGCGCTTGATCAGAAGCTGAAACAGTTGTGTTCAATGGGTTCCCAGTACCACTGTGAATACGGCGTCCTCCCAGTGCTTACTGGCAGCCACTGGGCAGAAGTGACAAATCAATCCATCGACCTTGTGGAGAAGCGTCGTCGGTATCTTGAGATTTATCTCGAGCAGCTCCTTGTACCAAAAAATCTGTTTTATGTGGCCAAGACAGCGCTCTATAAGTTCTTGCACGAGGGGGAGGTTCCAGTGCGGTGCAGGACGAATGTTCTGCGCCCTCTCATTGGCTTTGCGGCAGTTGAGCCGTCGCGGCGGCCGGAGAAGAGTGAAGACGATGCCACAACTGTCGAAGAGTCACCGAATCCGCTCGATATTTCCGCTGCCGGCGGCAACCTCCCCGTGACGACGACATTTTGCACCACCCCTGAGAGAGGGGTCTCCAACTCTGTAGAGTCGTCTTCTACGAACAGGTCGAGTGGGATGGAGGAATACGACGACGTTCCATCAAGGGAAGACACCGATAACGAAGACATCCACATGCCACCAGCTTCACCATTGTGTTTGCAGTGCAATGCCGAATTCTCATCCATGCTCTACCCACATCGTTGCTTTTTGTGTAAACAACGTTTCTGCAGGAACTGTTTGCGCAATGTGGAACTTGAAGAGGAGGTGGTTAGAGTGTGTCTACAGTGCTACGAGAACCATGAGCGGCACAGTAAGAAGAAGCAGACGGCGAAGGATGCCACTCCTGAAACGCCTCTTTCTCAATTTAAAGGGGTCACGGCTGCACCGGAAATTCTACAGCTCCACGAGGGGAACCAACTGCGGACAGATGTCTCTTTGTCTGACTTTGAGCTCGTCACAACGCTGGGCCGTGGTACATTTGGGAAGGTCCTCAAAGTCATATTCCGTGAAAACGGCCAAGTATATGCTATGAAGATTTTGAATAAATGCATCATCCACAAGCGGCGTATGGTTGAATACATTAAGGAAGAAAAAGATATCATGGCGTCGCTACCTTTTCATCCGTACGTTGTGACATGCCATTTTGCCTTTCAGACCGATTATCATTTATTTTTTGTGTTAGACTTCCTCCCGGGCGGGGAACTGTACTCCCATATCTATCCAAAGTGTACCCTTTCCCCAGTGGACGTGCGGTTAATTATCGCAGAGGTTGTTTTGGCTTTGGAGCACCTGCATCGTTACGACGTTGTGCATCGAGATCTTAAGCCGGAGAACATTGTGTTTGCAGCGGACGGTCATTTGAAGTTAACAGACTTTGGACTAGCAAGAATGAACTTTTCCCGTCATCGTCGGTACAGCTTTGTTGGCAGCCCAGAGTACCTTGCCCCGGAGACAATTCGAGGGGAGTGTCAGTCAAGGGCGCTGGACTGGTGGAGTGTGGGGGTAATGATGTACGAGATGCTGATGGGATCAACGCCGTTCCACGCTGCCAACAACAACGATGTCTGCAATAACGTGCTGAACCGTGCTCTCGACCTCACCGCACCGTGCTTCACCCCTGAGGCTGCCTCACTGATTCGGCAGCTCCTGCAACGTCAGCCAAAGCAACGGCTCCGAGACGCAGAGCAGATTAAGGCGCATCCGTACTTTGCTTCCCTCAATTGGTCGGCGCTGGAGAATAAATCTCTTCCCCCACCGATACGGCTCAACCTCGAGGGAAACGACACAAAGTACTTTAAACGGGAGTTTACAGCGGAGTGGGCAGTGATTGCTAGGCCGCAGGAGGTGAGTCGTGCCACGTTGGATATGTTAAAAAAATATTTTAGCAATTTTGTGCATGTGCCCGATGTGGGTGCGGGTGTGTCTTTGCCGTCACCATATTCCGGAAAGCGGGCATCACTCCTACAATCCATAAAGGCGGATGCAGATGAGGTGTTGACTGTTCAGAGGCTGCTAGGCATCTGGCGTCTAGTGAGGGTTGAGATGACGACAGATGACGGTAAAATTGCCTATCCGTGGGGAAGCGAAGTCTGCGGTCTTCTCGCATACTTCCCTAATGGTATTTTCACCATGCAGTTTACTCTGTCTCGTAGGCCGTACACGGGTTCCCATTTTCCGGAACAGGCTACCGTGGATGAACTCGTAGAGATGTGCAACTCTTACGTCGCAAGTTTTGGGCGGTACCAGTTGAAGGCCGAGAGTAACGCTATTGTTCACTGCCCCAATGGTAGTCTTTTTCCAAACCCATCATGGAACCAACAGAAGTTCTTTGTTGAGGTATCTAGTGAAAAATCAGTAGGTGGTGTTGCTGCACTGAAACTTTGTACACCACAATACATTCTTCAGGAGGAAAAGTTGTTAGCAAGAACTGTGCTGACGTGGGAACGAGCCGATGTTTGTTAAATTTTTTTTTTTTCTTCTCGTTGCTGTTGTTGTTGTTATTATTATTTCCCTAATTAATTTGGAGCTGCGGTTGTCTTTTTTTTTTTTTTTGCGTGTGTGCGTGAGGTTCCGTTATAAATATATATATGTTGTGTCTTTTTGAATTTGCTTTTGGTGTGACGTGTGGTTCTTTTTCTCCATCTTGATCCGTGCATTCATCCTCATTTCTGTAGATATTTATTTACATTGATATATCGATAGAGGTGTGCATATCACCTTAACACCTTTTCAACAGTGTCTGCGTCTCAATAAATCAAGCAGCGTGAAATACCGTGACGATATACATTAACATGTGTTTATGACTGTGGTACCGATGCTCTTGAGGAGCCTATTTTAGGCCATTTTATGTAAATTTTATCACTGCTGCTTTTGTTGTTGTTTTGCTTGTGATGCTGGCTGCTACTGAATGCCCTTTTTATAATTTATTTCAGTTTTTTTTTTCTTTTTTTTATGCCCTTTGTGAGGGTTCCTTCTCTCTTGGTGTTGTGTGTTTCCTTGCTGTTTATTGGACGCACGGAAGCAGTGAGAGCGCCGGGTCACGGAGAATCAGGGAATACAAAAAGGAAAGGGAGGGACAACTGTTTATTGTGTGATGCGCTGTAGGAGGATGCTATGCTTCTTGCCGCTGCGGCGACCCGCCTCGCTGCCGGCAGTCACAGGCGGTATTCATGGCTACCCCGTCGTGGTGGGTCTTCGGTGGCACTTTGACGAGGTGCCATCCTCCTCAACTCCCGCATCTTTTGCGTCGAGGCCGGTGATATCGAAGGAGGACCGAAAAGTCATGCCGTGGGTGGAGGGCGGCAGCCCGGCGGATGCAGCGGCCGCCTCAAAGACTTACAGGACCGAGCCGGCACACGAAGCTGCTACCGCTGCTGCTGCTGCGGATGGTGGTGACGGCTTTGAGAAGACACCGCCAAGGGGCCAGCCCTCTGCAGAATCGTCGCCCACCGCGCGGTACGCTCCGTGGGAGATCCGGGCGTTGCTGTTGCCGCTTATTCCTCTTGGAGGCGCCACTGTTGCTCTTCGCGAAGTCATTCATCTGCTTCCTACCGCAGCCCGAGAGGAAATGCAGCGGGATGGTGGCAGTCCGCTGGCGTACGTGCGGCAGCACTTCTCTGAGGATGTTATTGTGCGGGGTGTTGAGCTGTCGCGCCGCACCGTTGACTTGGACGGCGTCGTACCACACGGAGGAGCGAGGCAGGCAGCGCCACCACCACCACCCCCGCCGTTGCCATCTGCCAATTCGAGTCGGGCAGCTGCACAACGACCTTCGCAAGCTGCCGGGGGTGCGAAGACGGTTTTGGAGGTTCTAGACACACTGGTGGAGTTCATTCCGACCTTCTTCGTGCAGCAGCAAATGGTGTCCGACCAGCTGCCATCTGAGGTCAAAAAACAGTACGTCGATAGTAGTTTCTTGTTTTACATCAAGCGCTTTCGACATTATATTGATATTAGGGCACATCACGGGAGCACCGAAATCCGTCTGCGTCCTGACTTTGCCCACCCAAAGCGCGGCGCGGCGGACACCCGCTACGCAACTGGCCTTAGCAACAGTGACATGTTGAGCCAGTTGGCACGGGGACGCAGGCCACCACGAAATTCTGAGGCAAACTTAATTCACTTTATTATACCGAGAATTCCAAGCACTTACACACCACTTGCAACAGTACTGCAGGATGTGTCTGATATCGTCTCGCGGCACCCTTCGTTTGATCCACGTCTTGGAGTCACAGGTCTGTTTGAGAAGTACCCGGAGTACTTTCAAATTGTTGATTCGAAGCTGCGTGTGCGGCCGTTCCACAGTGCACCAAACTCGTTAGATGACTTGAATGCAACGACCTCGCCCCTTCCTACAATTTATGCCAAGATAAAGCAACTTGTGGATGAGTATGCGGAGGGAAAAGACTACACCGTGGAGGCTGAAAAGGCAGCAGCGGTGGTTCCAACAGGGAAATTGTACGCGTTACTTAATAACACAGAGAAGAAGGAAGTAAAGACACGCTGTCGTTCTTTTCCACGTTTCCTGCGGTTACATGGAGAAGAGATTGTGGTGTCTGTAGATAATATGAAGGTTTATCAATTCCGCCCCACGTACGAGAGGTGCGCCGAGACGATTATGGACCAGCGTCTCAGTATGGGCTCCCTTTCTCCGGATGATCCCGTGTTGAAGATTCCTGCCGCAATCGACGACAACAGTTCAGCTGACTGGGCGGTGCGGGAGTTGTACGACGCGCTTCCACTCATGCAATGTGCGGAACTTGACGAGGTCATGTCTCTGGTCCCACCCTCCGTCAAGAGCGCCCTTCCACAAGAGCAGGAGAAACTGGTTGAACATCTTGCACTGTACCCGGATTACTTTTTGACATGGCCGTACCCGGATGATCCACGCGTCATTGTGGTGCAGCGAGCGAAATTGGAGCCATTACCGATGGAGGGGGAGGACATTGCACGTGTAGTAATGCCGATGATTCCACAAGGGGGTATTGAGGTGTCAAGGCTTCTGCGTCGTGTCCCACTCCCGCTGCAACGCCACTTCTACCGCCATGGTCTGAAAAAGGTGCTCGGCGAGATGAAGAATTACTTCCTGATTGTGGGAGAAAAAGTGATGCGGGTTGGATGATAAGAGAAGCAATACGATTCCTTTGTGTACTGGCCCTTTCTGTGAGGGGAATGACTTTTTGCTCATTGCCATTGCCCTGAGACACCAGCGGGGAGGGGGGTCATACACGGAAGAGTATGGCGGAGCCCTTTGTTTTTTTTTTTAAATCTTGGTGTGAGGGCAACAGAAGTGGTATTAATATTTAAATGCATATATATATATATCAACAAACGGACAAAAGGGGCAAATTATCTTCTTTGTGTTTGTTGGAGTCGTTTATTTACACATCTGGTCGACATCGATTGTGGCCGGAAATCTCCTTTTTGGCGAGTCTCTTGTACCTTTTCTCCTCTTGACGATTGCTTTTTTTTTTTTTTTTTTTTACTTTCTTCTTCTTGTTGTTGTTATTATTATTTGGTTGAGCGCAGGAAATAATTGAAAGTAGCTTTTTACAATTTCAATAGAACGACATTGGGCGCCCACATCCAGAGGATCAGTTCCAGTAGATTGTGTGGTTACACCACAGCCATATTTCAGGTAGCAATGATACGCAAAAGGGTACTTGGTGTCGGTGCATCATCTGCCACCATGCTTGTGCAGGACACGGAAGCAAATGGTGTGTTGCGTGTGCTAAAGCGAATTAATGTGTCGTCGTGGAATGCGGCGGATGTGACGGAAACGCTCGAGATGTACAAGACAATTGCGAGGGCGAAAATTTTATCCATGGCGGAGGTGCACATGACGATGCTGCAGGGATATTTTTTGAGCCTTGTCATCACGTACTACGCGGGAGGTGACCTTGAGAGTTATTTAGAGGATGGGTCCGGAAGCTCGTTTGAGGAGTCCAAGGTGGTGCGGTGGCTGTTAGTCATGGCGAGGGTTGTGGAGCAGGTCCAGGGTCTCACGGGGGGCTATTTTTATGGTCTTTCACCCGATCGCGTCTTTTTTGCGGATGGCGAGCCGGGGATCTGCGTGGGGCTGCCGATGCCACGTTATTTGTACTTCAAATGGCTGATGGATCGCGAGGCTCTTGGTGTGGCGGTGGAGCGTGAGTACCCGCCGGAGGTGGTGAATGAGCGGAAGTACAAGCCAATGGTGAGCGATGTGTGGCACCTCGGCCTTCTTGGAATGAAGATGCTGAGTGCGCACACAAGTTACTCCTCCCGATCCTCAGAGATCCGCTCCATTATTTCTGCCATGGTGGAGCAGAGTGTCGAGTACCGCCTCACCATCGCCGGGGTGGTGCGGAGGCTGACGGAAATCGTCGATGGGCAAAACGCGCCAAGGCCGTTTGCGACGCAACGGAGCCCAACCCAATCTCTGGGCCCTGAAAAGCTGACGTCGTACGGCGCAGGGCTCTACGCCACAGCACCCTCAACAGAAGGCTCCACTGGAGATGAGAACAATGGAAGCAACGGTAACAGCATCAATTGTAACATCCCCGCAAAAAATGAAGTTGCCCCTGCACTGAACACATCGCAACGTGTGTCACGGATGAGATTGCAGGAGAGCTGGCACCGCCGCGCAATGGAGCAGTTTGAGGAGCTACAGCGGCTAAATGCGAGCTCTCCTGTTGGTAGATCCAGAGGTTGCTCACCAACAGCGCGGTCGAGACGATCGCGGTCAGCAGGAGTGGGGCTGTCGCAATCAACGAGCGCAATGGATATGGCTTCAACAGCCCCATCTCCGCAAGATATACGGACATCCGGTCAATTTCAGGCACGAAGCCCGAGGAGCTTCTCCGCCAAAGTGACAAAGGGGCGGACAAATCCCACAAGTGTAGTCCAAAATGCGCTCAAGCAACATATGGAGGAGCAGCGACGACGGGATGCAATTTGGCAAGGTCAAGAGACAAGACGATTGAGGAAGCAAGAAAAGGAGCGAGCGTTGCAAAATTTTCACCAGAACCATGTAGAAAAGTTAAGGAAAATCCGATCCAAACGAGATGAAGAAACGAAAAATGAAATCCGCATGCACATTAAGCAGTGGAGGGACCAACCTAGGGTTTTGGCCGATGAGAATGTCATTGTGAACAGAGAGGGCGACGTCTCCGTCTTTGTTCCGAAGAACGGCCGACCGCCACCAGCGGCAGCCACTACAGCACCACCACCACCCATGTCATCAGTAGGAACTTTAGGGAAAAAAGACAGGGAGAAGGACCCTTTGGCAGTAAGAGCAGGGGAATCGAAAGAAGTAAAAGGGGTGGAGGGAATATCTGTCTTTGCATTGCCGCATCGAGCAACAAGTGTCCCAGTTGGCTCAAGGACGACACCTCCTAGCGTGGGTCCCCCACGTTTTGCTGCCCTTTACCGTGAATCTGGCGTCAGCCCACGTGTTCCCCAGACGCGCGCCAAGGTGGTTTCCACACCGCCTCCGGTGGGCACCATTAGGGGGACAAAAGGGATTCTTTCCATCTCGTCCCCAAGATCGGCCAATGGGAGGTCTTTAAGCTTTTTCGCGGGGGTTGAGGCCATTGAGATGCCTCCACCGCTACTGGACCCGGAGAGCATTTTGGATACATCCGTAGCACGAGAAACCGAGGAGGTTGATCCATTTTCCTTGTCGAACAGTGGACCCCGCGATGAGAAAAGTCTTTTTTTTTCGCTCAACGGTTCCATCAAGGCCCTTAATGAATCACTTAGCAGTTTACTGGCAAACCATCACAAGCACCGGGAAGTCATTGTTGCCATGGACAAATTTTTGATGCGGTCTGAAGCCGAACGTTGCAATCCACGCCTCAATGCTGTTTTTATGAGTACCCTCCGTGGGATTTTGAATGACGAGCAACTTTTTCTTGCTGCGGCACCGTTATTTGTACAGTTGATGGCATTGCGGGGCCTATTAAAAAAAAACAGTCTTGCAAAGAAGAGAGATTTGAAAATGGAATAAACTTTTATGGAATGAAATGCTGGGTGTCTTTTTTCATTTCATTTGTAAAGAATAAAAAAAGATTAGAGAGGAAATAATGTATAAAACGTAAAGGCCAAACAAAATGCGAAAAAAAAAAAAACAAGACGTTTTTTTTTCTTTTTTTTTTCGTGTGTGTGTGTGGAATGGGCTAATGGGAGTGAAAAACAAAACAAAACAAAAACAAAGGCAAGAAAGCAAGGGAGGGGAGAAGTATATACACGCATGACCATTTCCCCCTTGTTAACAGTATAATTATGTGGTTTAATGTGTTTTGGAGAGGGGAGGGGAGGGGGTTTTCTCTTGTTTTTTTAGTGGGAAGGACATGCAAACTGCTGTCTTTTCCTTCCCAATGTGTGCGTACGTGCCAGGAGCCAATTCTTCTTTTTCAATGTTTTCTACTTGCCACACACACACACACACAAATACACACGGAGCTATATGCTTTGTGAGTGAGTGCGTAAGTGCATTGTGAGCCAGAAGAGAGTTGAGTGGTGAAGAGCTAACCTCTTCTTGCTTTGCTTAAATTTTCCAGTTTTTTTTTTTCATTTGGTGTTGTTTTTCTTCTTCTCCGGCTTTGGAGAAAGACAGGCACATCCTTTTCCTTTTGTGAATACAGTCTTTAAATAGAGGAGTAGAGGTGTCTGAGATCTTGCTTCGTGTGGACCTGCCATTTCTTTGAGGAAAAACGTATTGGGCGCACGTCATTTCTACCGTACATGCTGCTTCATATATGCATCTTATCTTTTTTGTCGTTTTTTCCTTTTTTTTTTAATTTTTTTGTGCGCCTACGTGTGAAGGTGCGTGTGAATTTGTGGTGCCCACAGAAGTGTACGGGGGGGGTCTTTGTAGAAATTTGCCGTGAACACCTTTCACGGTCACCAGACTCAAAGGTGTTTTTTTTTTTTTTAATTTTTTAAAAATGGTGCTTTTGTCTGTTTATGGAAGGTTTGGTGCTTGTACCATAGCCATATTACATATATTAAATATATATATATTCAAAACCACTTATTACCTGTATTGTACTTATTGGGTGCGTTTATAATTACACGTGACGATGGGAGCTGTCCCAAGCAGGGAGTCACTTTTGCGTGGTCTTATCCGTGTTGCTCCCAATAGAGAGTCGACCGACCACACCGCTGCAACGTCAAGAAGAAGTGCTTGGGGGGGCGCGCAGGAGATGGTCTTAGTACCGCTTATACCGGATTACTTTCCATCTGCAGAAGAGCCTTCTTTCCTGCTTCTTTTTAATGTATACAAGGAGGCTTCACTGTGTTGCGATTGTGTGCATGAAGTGGATTACTTAATGAACATGAAGCATGTAGGTACAGAGAGGGAACTTTACGAGCATTGCATGCATATTAGCAAACAACGTCTTTTTGAGACGGACAGTGAGTTAATGGCTGTGCATCGTGCAGGGAGAGTGTTTAGTGCCGTGCCATGTGCTGTAGCATTTGTTCAGGAATGTGGCTCATTAATATCATCATCATCATCATCATCACCCGCACCATGCAGGCGCTCTCCTTTGGGTCAAACGATACCTACGGTTCAGTTACAGGGTTTAAATTTGTACATTGTTGGGTTTATTGGGGATACAAACTTCTGTCCACCCTCCATTCCACAGAATAAGGCAAAGGATAATCCATTCAAGATGGTATTATTACTCTCAAAGAGTGTGGGTGGAAATCAGCGGATGTTGGTAACAAGCCTTGCGGCGTACACGCTTATCACACAATTGCGGCGGATTGGTATTGTAGACGATCCCATGATGTTTGCATATCTTCCTGGTGCCTACAACAGGATGGGGGAACAACAGCAGTTGGGGTTAAATAGCCTTCAGCTCAAAGAGGGAACTGCACCTGAGGATCAAGAAGTGGATAAGAAATGGTGTTGGGAATCGATGAATATTAGTGGGCATGTCATATTCCGACCTCTGGAATTTACTGTGGCGTTATCTGACATCCCGTGGCTGTGTTACGTCCGTGAGTTTCGTGCACGACTTTCTGAGAGTACTTTGGATGTTCCACCCACAAGCGGAAATGAAAAGGAGTTGCTGTTGAGTGCAGACACGCTGACAAAACATTCTTTAAAAACTTTTGTGGAAAGCGATTCCCTGTGCGGGACGATGGATGCAGGTCCGTTCAAGAAGTGCGTCGAGTGGGCCTGTTGGCATCATGAGACACGGTTTCAGAGTCTTGTTGGGGCCCAGGCAACGGAATTTCGTGCGGCATTGGCCAAGGAAAACTTAAAATGCGTCTTGGAGGGGAACGTCTTTGTTGACTCTGGCGAGCCCACTGGTGCCCAAAGGGGTGATGTGTGGATTGTCGGGTCCGACAGTTACACACGCGACAGGATCCATGCTGCCTACACTCCCGTCACACGCGGATCCGTCATGTCTCACGACGGTAGTCAATGGTGCCTGCAACCGGATCGGTTTGCGGAGGAAATTTTATTGTCTGTTTTTTGCGATGAGTGCAAACGAGCGCGAACTGCCGATCCCGACGACCCCCATTGGATGCGTGGCACAGACGGCTCGCTGCTCTGCAGTGAGACGGGTCTCTATTGTTGGAAGTTTGTGAGGCATGGACTGACGCTAGTGTACAGCACGGTGCCGGGGTTTGCCAAGCAGCGATCGCGGAAAAAGATGCATGCGACTTTGACTCACGGGAATGGCGGTATTGTTTCCGATAAGCCCGTAGACTCTGTGGGGGCAAAGAAGAAGGAGTGTGGGAGATCACCGTCCCTGAACCACAGCGGGCCGTTCTTGGCTGTGGGCCGCTCATCTGTCGTGGGATTGTCGAGGAATAGCCTCAGCTTTGAAAATGCCTTTGTTGGAAGCCACTGTGAGTCCCCATCGCAGTGGGGGGCCGCCAGCTACGGAGAAGGTGGAGACGTCTCTTGCGCACATCTCTCATCGGAACAGGACTTAAAAAACCCCATACGTTCTTTTAATTCATGCGAATTGAGAAACGCCGTGCTCTCCCCGCCTGGACCTGTATCTCACCCGGTCGACGTCCGGGTCCCAACCATTTTTTCCTCACAATCAACGCAACTGTCTGTGACAGCGCCTTCCATTGCATCACGGCAGCAAAAATCGTGTTTGGGGTCTTTCAGCCAAGCTGCCTCGTTCCAAGCGGATGCCCCGAAGATTATCAAGCAAACTGAACACTGCTTGGAAGCGCACGGCAAGGGGACAGACGGTAGCACTTCTGGGGGCGGTCTGCGCGCGTACGACAGGGAGGGAAAGTACCGCTGGGAGTGGGGACGGCGCTTTAAGTGATTTTTATGGCTGCGATTCGTACGGAAACCCACACAAATACATAACTAAAAGATAACGTGGAGGATAAGTAACTTCGACGGTACTTTTTTAGTCTTATTTATTTATTTATTTATTTTTCTTTTTCGTCCGCATTTTTTTTTTTTTTTTCTTACCCTTTCTCTCTCCCCCCTCAATTCTTGTGGTTTTGCCTTTTCGCTAATGGGAATGTTAACATAGTCCACCGTTGTATTTATAATCTCTTTTTTTTTCTTTTTACTTTTCTTACTTTAGAGTCTTTGAGAAGAGTAGTGGGGCTCTACATGTGCCAATATTTTTTTTTTTTTCTTTTCTTTTGTGCTTAATGCCTATGGATAATGCGAGGTCTTCTTGGGTGTTTGCTAGGCAGTGATTTTATTTTATTTGTATAGACATCAGGGGATTACGGAGGGAAATATCTTGTGTTCTTTTTTTTTCTTTCCATCTTTTTGAAGGGAGGGGAATTTTTGTAATGTTCTTTATTAGCGATGTGGTGATGTGTTTTGTCTGAAACAACAAAGAAACCAATAGAAACTCACGGAGGGAATGTGCGATCATATGGGGGAAGGGAGGCTAAGGAGGAGGTTGGCGTGGTTTTCTCATCCCCCCACCATTATTATTATTTTTTCTTTTTACATGTTGGTGCGCTGCAGGACATCGAGTGCATTTCTTTGTGTTTTCTGTCCTTGCACTCGCCCACTTTCTTAAGACTAATACCGCTGCAGCAAATTGCCACGCGGAGGGAATTCTGGCGGTTGCGGTGGCCCTTTTGAAGACTGCCGCCTCAGCGTGGTGCGCCAGGGTCAATCGCCCCTTATTGTCCGGGGAGGCCAGGAGCCAGCCATGTTTCCCTCACGGGCCTGTTGGTGCAGGGCTGACGGCATGTATTTTGTGAATATCTTTTTTTGTGGGTGCGTGCGTGTTGGATAAATTGTTTCTGAATTGTTTGCGGGATGCTGGACGCATTGAGCCAGAATGTCAATTGTTATTTTATTCTTCTTTCTTTCTCTGGCAATAGGGAGCTAGGTCTCAGCCGGGCAAGCTTACTGCTTATTGCCGCTATTGTTACTGTTTTTGGTTTTGTTCTGGATGGTACCATTATTTATAGTTCTTGTATGTATGCCTGTGTGTGTGTGTGTGCTGGTGTGTAAATACCTTTTAATTTTATTTTTTTAATTATTTGTTTTGCTGCGTTTTCTCCCATTCACAATTGTTGCCGTGTGACGTGGTTTTTTCCCCTTTCCCTGTTGGTGTTAACTTTGAAAGTTGAAAAAGCAAGCCATCAAATGCAGATTGTCGACGGCCAGCACTTCAGCGGTGGCGTTCAACGGAGTGAGGCGCTGGAGGATTCCGCCACGGCACTGAAGCATTCCATGCAGATGGGCCGTTTTTTTGCGTACTACACGCATCCACACCGTCTGCCGCTTAGTCAGAGCGCGGAGGAGCCGATGTGTGAGAAGCTGCCACGCGATGAGGCGATGCTTGCGCCAGGGGACTTTACTTTTCTCCCCAACCCGACGTACTGTGGCCGGACAACGGTTGACAAAGTGCTCTACAAGCATTGCCTGAGCCTTGATATTCTCTTGTAGCTTCCTTCTCTGCATTGGAGCTGCTGAATTGCGAGAATAAAAAAAATTGTGTGCATGTGTGTGATGCCAATAAGGCTGACAGATAAGAGAGAAATAATTAGAGCAGCAGCAACAGTGATGGCGGTTGTATTTGTTTTTACTTTCGTCTTACTCTCCTTTTTTCTCCTTCTTCTAACATTCCCTTCTTCGAAGGGGGAGGTAAGGCTGTAGTAAAGGTGTCTGTCTGTCTGGGGGTGGGAAGAGGAGGAGGAGGAGAGACACGGGCGAGAAGGGCAACTTCACACGGTAGGAGGGAGAAGGCGAAGGAAGTGTTCTTCTTCTTGTGTTGGTCTTCTTACGCATGGCACGGAAAGCGGAAAATGGGCGAATGACGGCCAGTGGCGTTGGCGGTGGCACAACACCCAGCGCCACGCCGCCACCTCGTGAAGTAGAAGTCACGGTCTATGACAAGTTGCTTAACGAGGTGCGTACATTCCGCTGTCATCAACACCTTTTGGAGACATCGATGGCGTACTTTGAACCTATAATACGGCGGTATCTGGAGGAAGAGGCGGAAGAAGAAAAGAAGAGAATTCGTGCGGAAATTGAAAAGGGTAGGGACAGCATTTCTGGTGCTAGTGCCGCCACGAATCTAGAGACGAGTATTGGCGTAACGGATGGGTCTGCTGACAGGAAGGCGATTATTGGAACGAGGGGGCAAGGAGACGTGGGGCCGTCCTCAAGAATCAGTGGGAACACTCCACTACCACCCATTCCTATTCGTGTAAACTGCGATTTGAGTATCTTTTCGTGGCTGATGGCATATATCCAGGGAAAGGATCGGCCATTCACTCCTGAGAACGCTGTGTCAATTGCCTTGTCTTCAAACTTTTTACTTATGACGCAACTTGTTGATTTACCCCTTCAATACATCAAGGAGAACCTCGTGCAGGTAATGCTCTCTGGGGTAAACATGGAGTGCCTTACAGGTGAACTTTTGGCGCGGCTGTGCACCATGTTATCGGAGGGCGACCTCGCACGCGCCTTTTTAAGATTGTATGACTGGCGAACTGAGTACTCTTCGAATAGACGTTTCTTGACAGCGCTTCTTCGTCATGTTGTTTGTGATCGCCTTGGGGAGCGACGGGCCGGTGGGTTGCGTTGGTGTCAATACTGCGGAGTTCTGTTTGACCAACATGAGCTTCTTCGTTTGGAACGGAGTGGGAAAAATGTGAAACCAGCACTTTGTCCGAGGCTGACAAAGTCCTCCATTGGGACCCGTGGTGAGATTCTCATCACTCATGTTGCTTCAAAGCAACCTGCCAACCTGGCCTTCCCCTCAATTTCTTGGGGTGATGAACATGTGGAACGGTGGGCGTGGCGCATTATTGGAGCAACGTACTTTTTTTTATGTCGGCAATGCAACCACCTTGTGTCTCTGACAGATACCACGACTCACGGGTGTTCTGGAGGAGTGGCGGCTTTTTCCTGCGTTGAGGGCGGAAATCGAGCCGATAGCGAAGCACTTCTTGCGTGGTATGATTACTCCAAATATCTTTACGTTGGTGGTCTCAATCCCATTTACTCCCGTCAGACGGACGTGCCACGCGAGTTCGTCCTGACGTTATCCCCCATGGGTGATTGGACCTGTGAGGACGGGGGTGACTGTGCTGTGCCAGGGCTGTGGTGCACTCACCCCATCGCCGTGGAGAGATCGGTTGATACAAAGGGAAGGGTGAGCCTCGATACACAGAATGGATTTGAGCGATGGTTAATGTTGGAGCTGCAGCAAATGATGGAGGACTTTGGTGCAGGGGGTAAAACAAACGCCTCCGTGAGCGATGCACAGACGCCAATACCACCGTCCAAAGCACCGACCACCAATTTTGCCTTGCAATTGTCACTCAAGACAAGCAACCGGGGGACAGAATACATGGCTGGACCCGGGGCCAGGCGGACATCGTATCGCGGCAACAGAGGAGAGAGTCGTAGTGGGTTTGGCTTTGGAAACGATGTGGTAAACAAGCGGAAGGAGACAACAAATAATAACGGCATTCAGCGTGTGAAGGATCCATCCGGTGGTGCACATGTGGCCTCCAATTCAAATAAGAACAACGTTGTTTCCTCTTTCTCTAACAGCGCTCGCGTCAGGTCAGCGCAATCGTCGAGGCCCTCTGCGAGGAAACTAATTAACTTTGACCCAGAGTCGAGTGGAGGCAACTCCTTTATTTCACAAGCTCAACGGCAGTGAGTATAATCGCTATCATAACGCCGGTTATAATTCCTCCGTAATGTATATTCATTCAATTCTACAGGTTCTTTTATTTGGGTTATTCCGAATTTATTATGTGAGGCGGTGGCACCACTTCACCGATGGATGCGTCTTCTTTTTACAAATCCATTTTTTTTTTTTTTGTGTGTGCGTTTGTGTGTTTTATGCCGTTTCCTCCCATTTACACCTCTTTGCATCCCAGTGTCACGCTACGGGGGATGAGCTCCCTGGCACAGAGTCGCTTGTGGCGCAATAAGAGCGCATGGATTTGGACTGTTGATAAGGCAACGCTGCACGCCATTGACTTTCTTGCATACCGACTGGGCCTCTTTCACCCACCCCCAGGAGGAACTGTCTGTGGCGCGGCAACTCTGGCGAGGTCGAAGTGTGATCGATTAAATATCCTCTCAGAGCGCTCTTCTATTCATTCCTCCTTCTTCCCCGTTGTGAGGAAGCAACAGACATCTTGTGGGGAGATCCATTTTTTTTCGTCCCTTGACACGATGAAGCGCATGATGCGGGAGTGGGAGAGACGACAGCGGAAACGGGCGCGGGATGAAGAGGAGGTGGCGATCAAGGAGGAGGCAGACGTTGCGGCCAAGTTGCAGCACCCGGAATTTCTCTTTTCTGATGAGGACTCAGTGTTGTTACGCTTTGGCATGGGGAGTTTTGCGTCTCCCACCGCCCCCGGCTTCTCCGGCCTCTTCCGGCAACATTGGAAGGATTTCATTGTGACGGAGATGGTGACAGATGCGGCCGGATTGGCGACGGCCATCCCTCGAGAACATGATTGGACTATACCTGCCTTGCCACCCTCGCTGCTCAACGCCACTGAAACACGTGAAAAATGGAGGGGTGACAGTGATGCTGATATGAACAAAAACGATGCCGAGGACGAAGGTCGGGGTGACGTGGGTCCGTCTTCTTCCTTCTTTGCGGTTGATGTCGAGGAACGAGTGGCGGAACTGCTCAAAGAGGGTAGCAGAGAAGAAAATCCCTTGGCTTCGGGAGAACCGGAAGAGGGAGAGAAGGAGAAGAAGGAGGATGGAAATAATGACTGCGTGGCGGGCAAGAGGGATTTTTATCTTCAGTGTTACCTCCACAAGCGCCACATCGCCCACAGTGTGGCACTCGCCAACATTGCGCAGACACTCCGCATGCATCCTTCTGGTATTTCCGTCGCTGGTATTAAGGATTACATTGGTGACACTATACAGCGGGTACGGTTGAAGAATATTACGCCGGCGGCTGCTTTAGAGGCAAACAGTTTTTTCCGCATGAAAAAATGGTCAATGACTTTGTCTGACTTCTCGTACCAGAATGAGCCACTGGTGCCGGGGCGACTGTTTGGCAACCACTTCAGGATCGTTTTGAGAGATGTGACTGCCGCACGGGAAGACGTGGAGCGCGCATTGCATGCGTTTGAACAAAACGGTTTCCCAAACTATTACGGATGTCAACGATTCTCGTGGTTTGGGGGGAAAAATGACGCCGCCTTTGCGCTGCTCCATCACAATTGGCTTGTGTTTGCCTTTCGCTTTCTTGGATACACAAGTTGTGAGTTTACATTACGGGAACTGTTGCAGCGTGAGAAGAAGTACCCAATCCACTGCAGGATGAGTACCGGGCGCATGTGGTCCGTCGTTTACGGCGTATAGCGACGGAACCCACGGAATTGGATGTGGCGCCTTTCCTTTC